CTGAGGCATGCATTTGCATACCTTTCAAGCGAAGCTACTGGTAACCTCCCAGCCCCCCCCCCCTCCTTATCCCTTACGGGAGAGGTTTATGTTCAGAAGTGAACAATTAACAGCTGATATGATGATTTGATGACGATTAACCTACCAGATGGAGACTTTGTACAAAAGTCTTTGTAAAATTACCCTACCTGCTAGGCAGTTTGTTATAGGATTTCATTTCATTCTTCTCTTCTTCACCTTTTCCTTATTCACTTCTTATGAAATACAGGAGTTTGATCTCCAGTATATCGTAAGGATGTATGATGGTGAAGGTCAGCTTTTGGACATCAACTAGAATAAGCCATGTTTCGATAGTGAATTAGGTGATAATACGTATGCAGATGATTATTTGCAATGCTGCATAATATCCGGCCGGTAGCTAGCAGCTACCTGAGGTCGTTCTAATTAAATACAATTCTCAAGACAATACGCGTTGCCGAGATTCCGGAGAAACATATATTCACACGGGGCGCTTTTCAACATTTAATATGTCATAAAACTATAAAGATACACGTATTTAAATATGACGATTACATTATAAAGACTAATGCCATTGTTATTAAAAAATATTATTTCATCTCCATTTTACAAGATTTTATTCATCATCGTCATTACATATTAGTCATTAAGTGTCCACTGCTGGACGTAGGCCCTATTGGTGGGCTGATAGTAATTGCTATGCTTGGCAAGTGGGTTGGCAACCGCAATTAGGATTTTGGTAATGTTTTAAGAGGGGTGGTGCTGTCCATCCCTTGGCCATTAAGTTCCTTTAATCGCCTCTTACGACACCCATGGGAAAGGAAGGGCTGGCCTATTTTATGCCGGGACCACATAGCTAAGATTGCAACATTATAAATCGCTAATTTAATTCTCGGATTAACAAATTGTTACTCCGAGAATTAAACTCAGAACGTATGCTAAAACTTAAAGCGTATATTTTACTTTCAACACCTACGTCAATATAACTTTTTATATTATATATTTATTTCGTTAAATATTCCAGTGACTTATTTGTACATTTTTAGATTAGACATTCATATTTTTAGACTCAAATAATATTTTGTTAGTATCTACTTCTTTATAAAAAAAGTGTTAACAAATTTTATAAACAGACTGCTTTTTTTGTCGTGAATATATCACACATTATCACATGTTTTCAAGTGGTGTTTCGTGGTCGTCAAATCAATAACATTAATTTGACTTCCGTTGAGTTCTATAAGTGGTTCCCACGTGTCCGTTTCTTACATATTATCTACCTACTTATTAAATAAAAAAATCTTTGATTTTACTACTTTGAATTCTTTAAATAAATTATAAGGTATATTGTTTTACTGTACATAAATTTGTTATCATTAATATACTGTTAATAATAAAAATACAAAATATACTGTTTTTAACACCTTGTCTCATTCGTTTTTATTTCTAGTATTAGTAACATAAGATTGTAGCGATGTGTGAAAGTATGTTATATTTTAAAAAAGAAGCGTAAAGTTTAAAGATAGAGATAAATCTAGTGATTTATTTAGTAGATAAATAGCCACATTTAGACTAAGTTGATCTTAACGCAACTAACAACCCAGGGTGTTATATATCTTATATAAAAATAATGTAAAATAGATCTAATTTTATAATGATGAGATGTAAGATAGATATATCTATTTTACTTAAATCTATATTACCCCAGGGTAATATATATTTAAATAAAAAATATTGTAATTTTAGTTTATAATGACCCATAAAGCAGTAATTTCGCGAAATTATTAAATTAAATTATAAGTAATTAATATATAGAAATGGCACCACAGAATCGGCCCCAATATTCACTTAGTGTGTAAACAGAGCATATCCATCCAAGTCGAAACTAGCGGAAGTTTATAATTTATGAAGCGAGTTCCGCCTTCACGACCTTTCCATCCGGGGGCCGACTAGCGAGACGGTAATGAAGCACCTGATGTATAATGCATCATCTCGTCTGAGATCGCCTTAAAACTATAATTAAGATAGAGTTAAGTAAGGAAATTAGTTCGCTAAGTTTCTATGGAAACGTATCCGAACTAAATTTGTTAGTTTGTTTTCATATAATGCTTAGATATTCAAAAGGTGACTACGGGAACTCCATAATGAAACAAGATAATTCGTCATGTTCGAGCATTTACGATATACCTACTCGTATCTTGACGATTTCTAAAAAACTCTTCAATTAATCCTCCACATGATCTTCACAAATTTGTAGCCCTAAAAGATATATGCGCCTAAAAGGGTGGTTCATTCTTTGCCATGTGGTCCCAGCATAGAATGGGCCACCCTTTCCTTTCCTGTGGGCGTCTTTAGAGGCGACTAAGGGAGGCGATGGGCAGCAGCGTCCCTCTTAAAACATCTCCAACGTCTAACTGCGGTTACCAACCCGCTTGCCAAGCATGGCAACTATTGGCAAAACCCCCCCAATAGGGGAAGACCTATATTTAACAGTGGATTGTTAATGGCTAATATATAAAAAAGGTTATCCAAAGTTTGTCGTTGGGACCAAAATATACCTATAGAATCTTCTCAACTGAACAAAATAGCCTTGTTAATTAAAGCCATGTTAAAAAATTTACTACAGTTCAGAGTCAAGTCTATATGTAATGATAAAGGCGAAAGGAGGTGACAACTATTATAGTAATAGTTTAGTACCTAGCATATCAAAATAAAAAAAAAAACAATATTCGTGTACCATCATAATCAAAATTAAAACTTATTTTACTTTAACCAAACCAACCAACCGTTTACCAAACTCATTATATTCTCTGAAGATAATTTATTAAATTATTATTTATAATAAATTACACAGTATACAATACAATGCCCTCTATTTCATAACACGAGTAATAACACGAATAATGCTGCGAAAGTGTTTATCTTACTCTTAACATGTTAACTTATTTTTATTTCTCATAAGCAATAAAAGATGTCGCTGTATGATACATTTATTAATACCGTAAATTCTGTAAAATGTAAGATTTAAATAATTAAATTGCAATATTTATTTATTAATTTATTAAAGCTTTAATGCACAGTAAAATTCTATGTCCCGCCAGTGTATACCAATAGCGCAAGCGGGGTTACCATTCCATTATCATCCATTAAAAAAAAGTGGCAGAGGGCGCGTCTACCGCTGTCTATAGCTAAGCTCTATGAAAAGGTATAAAAATATGAACGTGTGTGATGTAGTTGGACTGACGAATAATTCGCGTAGAATATATCGTCATAGTCGTAGAATACTGTCGGATATATATATGTAATATTTGTCATACTTAATTAGTTAGTAAAAAATTAATAGCTTAAAATGCAAATGTAGTTTCAAGTATTATGTGGGCCCATCCCGGCGGCACTGCAATGCCGGGCCGACCCGTAACGGGAGTGGAGCGAGCCCCGAACATCCCGTCGGTTTACAAAAATCAGTTTAATATACTGGTCCCTCGATGAGGGAACTTCCAGATATTAAGCTGATAAGAACAGATACTACACTTTGATCTTAGCCAAAAGGCCGAGAAGCGATAAATGTATAATTGTATTGTTTAGCCATGTCATTCAGCGACTGGAAATTCTTATAGCGCGGTGTACATATACAGCGCCATCTATGGTAATACCATAAATTATATACGAATTTAAAATTTTCAGTATCTTAGATTTATCAAATTAGTAGCTTAGATAAGCTTTTGAACATAAATTACAAACCTATTTCTTAGTAAAATCACTTTCCCTTTAAACTTTATCTTGCTGGTTACTCTGTTTGAGTCGTAGATTGCTATTTCCTTTTCTATTACAGTTTATTGTTTTACATAATAATATTTTATGTATTTATTTATTTATGTATTTATTATATGTATATATTTAATATTTTATGTTTATGATTATATTAGCCTAATTATGTGTTTATATTATGTGAACGTACTTTTTTGTTTTCTCTCTATTCGATAATGCACCGGCTACTTATTTCTTGATTAGCCCAATGGTTGACTGGTAGAGAAAACCGTCCAGTATTAAGTTCGCCGAATGTACATAGAATTTTACTGTGCATTAAATTTTAAATAAATAAAGTACAAGAGGCAGTGTTATCGCTAAAACAGTATCTTCCAAACAACCTTAGGGCAGAAAATAAAATAAATTAAAATGTTATCTAGTTTATTTTTTTATTTTGTTTACTGTACTACATCTTGTAACACCCATAGATTAAGAATAGCATCCGGGGTGACATCGCAGGATTTGTTAAATATTTATTTAAAAAATAGCATAAATGTACGTTGTCAGAAAGACAAAATTAAACCAATAAACACTCATTACGTAGAACTGTACCATCATTAATAAACTAAATTACCCTCAGATAAATTATATACTTAAATAGACCATTATTAATTTATTTAACTATTTATATAGACTTTATTATTGTTTCAGATACTATAAGAGTAGTATAGATATGAGTATATTTGGCAGAAAGGTATAATATTGTTAGCTCAGTACACATTTTTACAATTAATAACTACTGTAAAGAAAAGGAAAGAGTAAAATTTTATTTCCTTTTGCAAAAAAAAACGTATCTAATTCAATCGTAATATAACTCTGTGACATAACTAGTACGGAAATAACTCTGTAGATAGCAAACTAATTCTAATATATAAATAGAAAATAAAGAAATAAAACTAAATCACAACGCATCAGAACTAAATACATACCTAAAAAATTAAATTTATTTTTTTAAGAATAAAAATAAATTATATTTCAATTATAAGTAACAAAAATAAATCTCCTATTTATTTTTATATTGTTATACATCAATGTTCTTACAATTAAAAACTATTTTGTTTAAACTATTTTATGACATATTGCTGTATTCTTCTGTGTCGATTCAAGGATAAAATTTTAATCACATGCCCTTTTAATAGTATATTATTAATATAATATATATTAATAATATAATTTTAATGTTTTTAATATTCCGCTGGATATTTTTCATCTTGTTTTATGTTTTTGATGAGTGTTCATCGCAATTAATTAGACCATCGAATTTGGATGAGACGGTTTTGATTCCAAGGGTTGTCAATGGCAAGCCAGCATCGCTAGGAGAAGTTCCCTACCAGGTAATCCTAATAAATCCTACTATATTATAAATGTAAAAGTTTGTGAGAATGTTTAATTGGATGGATGTTTGTTACTATTTTACGTAAAACTACTTCAATAAATTTGAATTTATTTTAATACACAGATAGGTAAACCATGATCTAATTTAGCGCTTTACATTAGATACTGGTTTATACGCGTGAAGTCACGAGATACAGCTAATTTTTAACAATTCACCGAGGATCCAATGAGAGACCTCTTGATTTTAGTCTTAATAGTTACTCTTTCATACATCAATCAGTAGATATGTTACCAATTATTTATCAAAGCAGATTATTTTGTATATTAATGAAACATGATGTAAAGATGTCGGATGTCACCTTAGTCTTATTTGTTTTAGATTATTTATTACATATCATCTCGGTTTGACTTCACTTTCTTTGAACCAATATTGTGTGCGAAATAATTGTATAAATACATATATTTATATAGATATACTTTTTGCGCCAAATAGCTACCATGTTTTTATCTTCTTCTCTACCATAAGATAGTCTGGAAGAGATTGCTTTGAATATAAACAAAAAAGAAAGCAAAATTTAATCATCATCTATAGATATAAACAGTACCATGGACTGAGGCCTATGGTGATGTTTATAAAATTATAAAGATTTACAATTCTACTTCAGATAGGATTCAAAACTCCGATACCCCGATTTCGAAGACTCTATAGTACATTCTGTGGAGGCACGATCATAGCTCCAACTAAACTTCTCTCTGCAGCGCATTGCTTCGAACAGAGGAAAAGTAGTTGCACCATTTATCAGGGTTCAATGTAAGTAAGATAATTTAACACTTTGTTTCACTAAAAATATAGACTTCTTAGAATATAAAGTCTTAGTCAAACCAATTATTTTACTTAAAAAACTAAACTATTTGATTTTGATAAAATTTGTATCGAACCAATTTGAAAATATAAATAAATAATATAAAAACTAATAAAATAAATGTTTCAAATAAAGGAAAAATCTAAATCAGTTTATAAATTAAGACGAAGATGCAACCAAATTGAGAACCTCCTCCTTTTTTTAAGTCGGTAGAAAAAATATTTTAATCTATACAAAAATACCATTGAAAAATAAACTATTAAAATAATTTTAAGAAAGTGTTCTACCAGTGAAAGGAACATGTCGGAAAATTATAAAAATAAATGTTAACCATCCACACTAACTTTAAAGCTGGATTATCATCATCATCATCATATCAGCTATCATTTATCCATTGCTTACCGTCACCTCACCCACAGACTGCCATACGGAACGGTCCCAAACCATATATCCACTGACTCCGTGCAATGCATTTGAGGTCGTCTTCATTTAGTGAGGAGTCGTCCTACACTGCGTTTGCCTGAACGGAGTCGCCACTCAAGAACCTTTCTTCCCATAAGTTGTCGGTTTTTCGAGCTTTGTGACCAACTCATTTATCCTTCCGGCTATGTCGGTCATTTTAGTTCTTTTGCATATATCCCCATTTCAGATTCTATCACGCAAAAAAACTTCGAGCACAGCCCTCTCCATAGCTCGCTGAGTAACTTGAAGCTTTTGCATATGGACAACCGTACAGAAACTTATTTCGTTTCCATAGATAATCTATAGCTTACAGCTGGATGTGCAGCCTTGATAAGGAAAATCAAAATTTTTTGATTTCGATTATACACGTAGAAAATCTATATATTCTTTACTAGTTTTAATCCCCGACTTGGTCCGTGTTATGTTTATTGACCGAGATAAAAAGTAGCATATTTAATGTTCTATATTGTTCATCATATATACTGACATGTTATATAGTGACATATATACCGACATGTACATGTTGTCGATCAAAGATATCATAAGTGCATATACAAACCAACCATATTAATGCACCACAATGTAAGAATAAGATTCATTTCATTTTTGGTAATTCTTTTGTAATCGAAAGTATTTGTTTCATACTAAATTTGTTAATTCGTCGTGTAGTCCCGGCATAGAACGAGGCATTCCTTCCATTGCCGTTGGTGTCGTAAGAAGCGACTAGACTCGAGAACTCTCGACTAAAAGCGAGAAAACTTAATGGTCGAGAGATAGACAGCTGCGTCTCTCTTAAAATATCACCAAAGCCTAATTGCGGTTGTCAACTCGCTTACCAGGCGTCGCCACTACTGGATAAACCCCCCTAATGGGGAATCAGTGAACACTTAATGATTGATATAGTATGGTAAATTTGTTAACATTGTGACACACGCGCCACCCCGTCTTATGCATGTTCTACAGCGTTTAACAGCACAGTATGAAAACCGCAGTCTTTGCATACGGCGACACGGTGCATAGATATGTCAAACGCTTAAATTATTACAGTATACTGCACTCAAAGCAGTTGCTTAAAAAATACGCGGTAGCTGGTACTTTGTGGAACGAAGCCAAAATCCAAAAAACTGATGATATGAATGGCGGTGGACAGTGGAGGGAATTGAAGAATGTCATCTTTCCATCTGGATATAAATTCCCGAAACATGACATAGCCGTGGTGGTAGGTGTCTAGTTTTATTATAGTACGACATAAGACAATGCCGTGTGGTCCCGGCATAGAATGGGCTACCCCTTCCTTTCTCATAGGTGGCGTAATAGGCAACTAAGGGATCTTAATGGTCGAGAGATGGCAGCGACGTCCTTTGAAACATCACCAAAGCCTAACTGCGGTTGTCAACCCGCTTGCCAAATCTGGCAACTACTGGCAACTTCCCCCCCCCTCTATGGAGGAGGCCTATGTTTAGCAGTAGACAATAATGGGCTGATATGATAAGGATGATGATATGACCTCATCATTATAAACAGAGACAATATGGTGCGTAAATGCGATCAATCAAATAAATAATATTTTACTCTCTGCGGTTAACGAAAAGAATATTTTACTCTGTACAGTTTGTCACGGGAAAGATCATTAAAGGCCATAATTATAGTTTTTACGCACGTCGAAAAGACGCCTATACATAACTCTACCTCAAATACTACGTGTGTGGTAAATTTCATAGCAATGTATTGAGTAATTAAGGCGCCAAGATGTTTTAAACAAATAAACATACTTTTATAACAAACATTGTTCATATGTTTGTTGTAAAAGTGAATTTATTTGTTGGCTTAGCTTTTTATTTCATATATTATGTACATAATTTGAAAACTATATTTATCGCAATAAAGATTAATGTTTTTTGATCCTTTTAATTGTTACCACTTAATAGACGTAAATAAATTCTTATTCATCTAATCCAGGTTCTATGAAAGTATATAAACATTCAAAATACTTGTTAATTATATCCATTCATTGCCTCCTCGTTTATTTTAGATGATATTCATACCGTTTCATTTCAATGACCATGTAGCTGCGATTCCGTACACGACTATTAACAGAGATTACAGAGGGAAGTGCCTGGTGTCAGGCTATGGAAGAACATCGACTACAAAGCAAGTATGTCATTGTATCCATTAAAATTTTCTCGATGGAAACAAATCTATTATTATAAGTTAGATACGATCTCTCTACCACACATTTAACATAGAACAAGATAATAACGCCCTCGTTCTTTCTTATGCATAACATATCCACCAGCAGTTGATTATTATAAGTCTTATTTTGATCTAGAAGGTAGATTCAAAATGTCTACTATTATAGTTTTTGCTAATTTAATATATATAAATATAATGTTTTTAAGCAACCGACAATGAAAAATTGACCGTCGATCTGATGGAAAATTGAATATACCGCCTATATACATCATCTACATTATGGTTAAAATAAAAAAAAAACAGTACCAACCAGATCCTCACGAGCTACATATTCTACTAAATCACGATACTGATAAAATTTTCATCACGCCAAATCCCTTGAGGGATAAATATTGAGAACCGAGTAATAATTACCTCTAGTCTTATATAAATCTCTTGCTTCATGCACTTTTATAACTCGTCTTATGCAGTTCCGAAGAGGCCAAATGAAACACAGACTATTAGATCAGGGGGGGGGGGTTGTTAGTAGTACAGACTACCAGTCCCATTGCTAGCAGTATACCCTATCACGTTGACCTTCACACCCCCTGGAAACCATCTTGCTAAATCCAAATGTTTTCTTTACAATGGCTAACTGGACAGCTTTATGATTCTTACCTATCATCCCTCGCTGATGCCCTACCAATATACCGTCAGCGCAGGCAGCGTTACCATTCCGTTATCATCCATTAAAAAAATCTATTTATTTTATGTAACTTAGAATGGCAAACAAGCTGACGGCCCACCTGATGGAAAGTGGTAACCGTCGCCTATAGACATGAGCAGTACCATGGACATAACAGAGTATACTGTTTCGCCCATGATACCCCTCATACGTTGCCATTCCTGAGGACTCAGGTGTTATTCCTTTGTGCTCTGTAAATTCACTGCCATATCCCACTCTTCAAACCGAAACACAGCCTTGCAAACGCAACTGCTTTACGATAGAAACACGAATGGGACAAAAGTACCCAAGCAAACGAGTTGTGTACAAAGTCTCCCTCTGATAAAATATTGATCATTGAAAATGGACCGTACTAATATATTGTTATGTTGTAGTTTCGATATAAAATTACAGATAAGATCTGAGAAGCTACTTGTTGCACATTTAGAATTGATCCCGTCATATTTGTGTAGCCGTCTGCATAGGAAAAATATGAGACAGTTTATATGCACTTCAAGTAAATTAACAGACGTGGGAAAGGTATAATAATATAACAATATTTTACTTTTCTCCTTGACTTCATCTTTATAAAGCTGTACACTGAAGATAATTTAAAATTTTACTAAGCAAGCTATATATGTATATATACATATATAATATGGTATTAATGTGAGCCAACATCGGAGTACCATAAATCCTAATAATTGTAAAAATTGTAAAAAACATTTTCTCAGATCCTGATAATTTTTTTATACACGCCTGTCAACCGTTGCAACTACTGGCAAATCCTCCCAATAAACTGCTGTAAGGAACGGTTCCGTTCCTTATGACAGTCTATCGGAGAGACCTATGTTTAGCAGTGGACAAATAAAGGCTGATGTGATATTGATGACGATAACTAAGTTAGGAATGTTACTTTATAGGGTGACTCTGGAGGACCATTGGTTTGCTCAAATACAGGCGACCCGAAGGAATCAAAGAAAGGTATTTTGGTTGGAATTGTGAGCGGCAACAGATACAGGGTTGGATCCTTCTTCACTAGAGTGTCATCATACCACAAGTATATCGAGCAAAGTAACGCAGATACCAGTAGGTGTAAAACAATTTTAATTATTTTACTCGTAATAATACACGGTGCATTTTGGTTATTTTGATTTTGTTTTATTTATACCTATTTTTTTTTATCAAATAGTTTATAATTATTATCAATTTACATAATAATAAATAAAATGATTTTTTTTGCGTATTGATGCAATAAGATTCTTAAATAATAAAAAAGAGTATTTGGGTAACTGGTGAGCTCAATGCCACATTTTATGTAGTAGATTCATCTCCATTTTTTATAATTTGTGCTACAAAACTGACTAATATTCTCTATTGAATAATTTTGTTTATTTTATTAAGTTACTTTATGTACTTACTGATTCACGTGGACGAAACCGCGAGAGACAACTAATTTTGAATAATGAAAAAAGTAATCATCGTGATTGTACGCGTTCAATGTATAATATAATGTTCAGATAAGACCAATCCAGCTACTTATAATACAAATATATTAAAAGACATGCAATCAAAATTCTTTTACTACCTATACATTTTATAGCCCCACCATCCGTGACCCATTTATGGAAAAGACCGATTCTGGAATGCAAAGAAGGTAACCGAATATGTATGAATGACGTCACACCAACCAGGATCCCTCGTTTTTCATCTTTTTCTTCTGGGTCCCCGGTACCATGACAGACAAGCCCGCCACCTTCTGTCTCCTGGAAGAAATTAACTGAAATTAAATAAACTTAAAAGTCTATTATAATTGATATGAATCGTATAGGATTACTGTTTACTTTAAAGAACTTTCAAAAATCTAGATTCATTTTATTAATTGAACATGAAAATGAAACAAACAGCCTGCCTGATGGTAAACGTCATTGTAAACTTCAAGAAAAGATGATATTCATTTTTAAAAGATGGGCAGCATATTTGCGACTACTCCGGTGTTGCGGATACTCATGGGCGGTGGTAGTCATTTACCAACAAGCCGCATGCTAATTTGCACATTTATGTTAAAAAAAAGGCCACTTCGCAATTCCTGAACTTTTACAATACCAAAGATTTTTCAACGTGTTGCCGACACTTATAAAAACTTTGAATACCTATGAAGACACACCTGTAAAACTCTTCATCTATTAAAATAAAGACTCTAACATCCTCTTTTTAGCTTTATCTTCAAATTACTGTATATCCGCATTACTGTATTTAGGAGTAGCACTTATTTGTGCTTCGAACATAAAGTTGGTAAAACCTTTCTCTGCAAAGTACATAGTATAATTTTTTTTGGTAGTTCTGGGTTGCGTAAACAACAGTGCGTTCCGTTCTCGCTTTATTATTATAAGATTAAAAATAAGGAGTACTAGAATTAATATAACACTAATGTCTTTACTAACGGATGACTGATAAGTCAGTTTATTGCTATCATAATCTGTACAATAGTATAGTCTGCAGGAACGCAAAAGAATCCGCTGGCAGTCTTTACGAGGGATTATCCGAAACTCTTCTGTAAATAAATATTTGCTATCCGACCAACTCTGTAAAAACAATATTATTTATTTTCATATGTAAATAGAAAATATACAAATATTTCCGATGCATATTACATTGTTGACATTATTGTTACAAGAAGACAATTTTTTTTTTAAATAAAACGTAAAGTATGATATGAGTGAGATCTGTTAGTTACGTTTTTGCGGCAAAATTATTGGTTTACATAAAGTGATTAGGTTACCCACAGAAAAACAGATCACGTTATTTGCAGTGACACATCAGAACAACGAATTTCTTTTGGCGCCAATGCGTTTTTTTTACTTTAAAAAATCGAGTTCTAATTCATATATATAATATGTAAGCTATTTTAAAATAAAAGAAAAAATTAATTGGGGAAAAAAGGAAACCTTTGTAGCCTTGACGATTGTAGCAGTGCAAACACCATTGAAATCGTAATCTTTGGACGCATACGGTATCATATCAACAAATTGATTAAAAATCCAAGGTTTATTTGTTTCCTAAAATCAGATATCTAAATATTTACAACGATTTGGATATTGTTTTTTTACTTAATGCTGAGCGTTCAATAATAATTAAAGAGCTCCACAAAAAAAAAATAATAATAAAGATTGTGTCTTACAAAAAAAGACTTCAAATTATGACATAAAGTAATTATTTTGATCTTAAAACTGAACTACTGAATCATTGAAAAAATTTTATTGGGTCAATCAATAAGTATCTACTTATATCCTTTCCGGAAAAAAGGAATTTTTTAAAATCGGTTTTTAACTAATGAAAATAAACGTAAAAAAATACAACCGCATTGAGAAACTCTTTCTTTTTGAAGTCAATTGAAATAATTAACTAACCAAAACAGCAAGATTGAACGCTGGAAACCTGTAATATTTCTGTGAGTACACATGATCTATTCTCCTCCATTGTTGTGTGTCATCGTAAGTAGAATGTTTAAGATTAGTATGCAATGCACCGGCTACTACTTTAAGCGAATTCAAGTTATGTTTAAACCTGAAAATTATGGTATATTAAAATTTTGTTTCACAAAAAACCGCTTTCAATTGTGGCAACACCAGTAATTTTGATTTAAAAATTAAACTTCTGATTCGATTTTGGTAAAAAAATATAATCGAATGAAGCTATAACCTACGTCTTTGTCCACATTAATACAATATGAGTAATCCATAGTTTACAAAACTTGGATATATAATTAAAACTAATGCAAACCTGATTCTTCTCTCTTGCAAAATTCTGCATGAATTAAAAAGAAAAATATTCTAGATATTATTAATCATGGTTATGATCTATCTTTGTAAATTTTATGCAAATTAATTCAATCATAAAGTATCTATTCTTATTATATATATATATATATATATATTTATCATTATTATTAAACTTACTTTTTTCTGTTCGTGTAAAAACAGTGTGCTGATGTAAGTACTCTATCCTTTGTAATTATACTCCCAGAACAATAAGCTCTGTATAACAGACGCCATTTATCATATAATTTGAAAATGAACACCTGTAGTGGAGGAAAAAAAAACTGAGATGAAAAGCATTGGCTTAAAGGAATATGATGTACCGATACTATAATAGTGTATATTAGAAATTATATACATCTAATGCTTAATTCAGAAAATTTATCCCTATTATAATTATACAAATTATCATATATTTTGTGGCATAATAGTTAAGTCTGATAAACTTACGTGATGCTTAAGTTCTCCTAACTTGACTTCATTTCCGTTAGATACAAGAACATTTAACTTTATATGGGATGACTGAAACAAGTTACTAATATGTATGATCTTTACTAATATTATAAATGTCAAAAATGTTTTTTTAAGCTGCGTTAAGGCATTATGAGATAATAAAACCTCTTAAAGTCTTTATTGCAACAAAGATATGAAAATACAATTGGAAAATTCAAGTGAAAAATAGTGGCATAAAGTACAGATCAAACAATATACATAAAGGTACGAAAAATTATCTTATCATTAGGGAAATCATCACAGCGCCTTAACGGCTTAACAAATCACCATGAAATTTGGTATATACGTTGTACATGTGATGGAGAACGATATAGGATTTCGTCTCGGTCGATGATCTATCATCATCATCATCCCCCATCACCTTCACTATCCCCTACTAAACATAGATCTCACAGTTTTGCCAGTAGTTGCCACGCTTGGCAGGAGGGTTTTTTTAATGGATGATAATGGATTGGTACCCCGCCTGCTCTGTCGGTATACACTGGCGGGGCACTAATAAGGGTTCATTGGTAAGAATGAAAAGACAGATCAGTTAGCCCATCGTGACGAATACACCTGGTATTCGGTACAATGGTTTCCAGGGGGACCACGTGAAGGTCGATCTGATAAGTTATACTGATAGCAATGGAGACTAACTTCCCCATTACTGGGGGGAAAGGGATTGTTAGTAATGGAGACTGAGAATCCCATTGCTAGCAATATACCCAACAAGGTCGACCTCCTCCATTACTAACAATCCCTTTACCCCAACATAATTATATTTAAAACAAATCTTACCTTGTGAGTTATATTGTCACCTAAGGTTATTACTATAAACATTAAACATAATAACACGATATTATGTTTAAAATTAATAAACACCTTAGCAATTTTTTCAGCCTGATTAATATACGCTACAAACACATTAGTTTTATTTTTATTATTAAATCTCAATAAATCAGAACCTTGACTGGGACGTCATTAATCCTTAATTAATGTCAAAGACATGAAATTTATAAAATAGTTCGAAATACTCTTTTTTTTATATTCTTCGAGTACAAGGAACCTTTTTGAAACAAAATTAGTTTTAAGTTATGACTTTTATACAGATAAGATTGGGATTTAATAACAAGGTTGGGATACGTTAACCAATATAAAAATAGCCTATGTCCTCCATCTCTGGATATCATCTTCAGCATAAAAGCCTCTAAATAAAAAAGATTTTAAAAATACTATATAGATATAAATGTATACCTACTACTACTGAGTAGAGTTGTAACACCAAAATGTAACAAACAAACAAACAAATAAGTCGCATTTACATTTATAAAATTACTAAAGGCTTTATTAGTATTAGCTAATGCAATTAATTAGGAGTAGTTTCAAGCATCTAACCTAATACATAGTAGGTAAGCATTCTGTCGCAACTTGCAATGTATTGGATACTACTAAATAATTTATGAACTACATAGAAGAGTATTTGGAAAACCTACTTCATTTGCCAGTGTATTAGACATTACTATTTTATTATCAATGCCCAAAAAAAAAAACTAAATAAAACCTTATACCAAACCGCTTTGCCAGATTTAGAATGGTAATAGGTTAATATCCTTATGGAAAAATACTCCTTTAAATTATTTGCAATTTTAGTACTTTAGAGGGCATAAGTTAAAAAATTTCTTACCACAAAATTTTATTTCTATTTAATTTTAAAACATTACTACAAACTTCGTAATTATGTTTAATTTCAATGAAAAATTTATATAAATTTTCAATATACACAAGACGTTCAACGTAAAACATGTAAATTGATTATTTCTTCTTTTCGTAAAGTATAATAGTAGTATTTTTATCCTCTTCTGATATATCATTATCCTCCCAACCCCAAAGATTAGTGCCATCTCCTGTTCTCTTAGCTCTTCTCATAATCATATCTTTAGGGACAGTTTTCAAGTCATACGCCCATCCGATCCAAGCAAAAAAGTCAATAAACTTCGTCGTTAAGTTCAGCTTATTATTTCCAAGTTCAGATGCACGATAATCCCATGGAAATACATGGTGATAGTTATGGAAACCTTCACCAAAAGTAGCTAGAGAGACGGGCAAGTTTTGAGTTGAAAGTATACCCTTATCGTAAGGCTTGTACCCCCACATATGAGCTGCACTGTTTACGAGAAAAGTTGCATTCAAATTACTGATATAACGTAGCATACAAAGATGCCATGCGTTGTTCAAACTTTCTCCCCAAAAATACATGGGTATTAGAGTTGGAATAATGAAACAGACTAAACCAATAAACGGTATAGCGTACCTGAAAAATAAAGATGAATATAATTATTATCAAACCCTATTATATATTAACTGCACAAAGTTATCAGTAAGGGTGGTTAATATATAGCATTATCTATATATTGTAGTTACAATATCTATACATATATTGACCCAATAACAGATATATTAGATAACAGTTATTCAATATATAGTAAAGAAAAGAACCCGCTCATAATTAGTATAGATATCCGACCAGTATGAGCGATATCGCAATGGGGGATCATCAATGTTCAGAAGAACTCAATATATAGAATATCTATATATTGAGTTCTTCCCATCTAGTCTGCAATCATCAGATATATTTACCATGCAACTTTAAATGGCAAACAATATATGGCGCCTGATAAAAAATCATAACCATCGCCTATAGACTGGACTGCACCGTGGACATCACAGAAGATACTATGACGCCAATAATATATCTCGATACTCTATAATTTTACTAGCATATCTTCACCCTTTAAATAAAAACGCAACCACGGGTGCACAGCATATGTAGTACATACTTTTTCTGGAATCTCAATACTGGATTGTTGTTTAAATCTATCATGTCTATCTGTCTACCATAGTCCTTAACTTTTGGTAATTTCTTCACCAACAGCCATCCCACATGAGAATAAAAGAAACCTCTTTTGGCATTGTGCGGGTCGATGTCTGTGTCAGTATATTTATGGTGTAATCTATGGTCTCTGGCCCAGTGCAGTGCTGTATTTTGGAATGCTATAGAGTTTAAGACCATGAGAAATATTTGCAGTGGCAGTTTAGCTTTATACGTCTTGTGTGCCCATAAACGGTGTGCCCCAGCCGTAACACCTATTTCGGCCGCCATGTATGTGAATATAGCTGCAAATGGAGAGAAAATTCTATTTTGAATTCTAAACATTAAAAAGACTAAAATTCATAAAGATATTTAAATGTTTGTTAGTCGCACAATCGGGCTTGCTCTAAAGATTTGAATTAGAGCAATCTCTAGATTTGAATTAAATGTGTTGGACATCATCATCAATTATCCTAGAATTATCCTAGACTGACAAATATTACCATACTACTACATACTACTTGGAATGGATGGATGGAAAGTGTTTGTCACTCTAAGTTACATAAAAAAATACGGTTCATGCTATTTTAAGCACACAAGCACAAAGACAGAATAAGTAGATAATAAATGAAAACAAATGTAATTTTCCGGCTGATTCCTAGAACAAGGTTCTACTTTTCCTTATGTAAATGTGTTTATTTTTACAATCTTCGCTATATAATTATGAATCAATGATGATCAATACTATTGAGAGATTAAGCCATATATTGGCTTAATTTTTTTTTTATACAACTTAGAATGGCAAACAAGCTGACGATCCACCTGATGGAAAGTGGTAACCGTCGCCTATAGACATGAGCAGTACCATGGACATAACAGAGTATACTGTTTCGCCCATGATACCATGCGTTGCCATTCTTGAAGACTCAGGTGTTATTCCTCTGTACCCAGTAATTTCACGCCATATCCCACCCTTCAAACCGAAACACAGCCATGCAAACACAACTGCTTCACGGTTAAAACACGAATGGGACAGAGGTAACCAAGCAATCGACTTTTGTACAAAGTCTCCCTCTGGTTTAATTATCTACTTCATTTACAAAATTGAAGTTAATATATCAAGTGGGACAAAATTGAAGTTAAAGTTATACTTGGGAAATCATACATAAATTCTTACATAATATAATAGTAGCCCATTTTGCCGAAGTGAAGCAAAGATATAATCCATATATCCCAGCTAGATGCCAATAACCAAATGTTAATAAGTTATGATACACTATTTTATATTCTCTCGGCTCCAAATCCTTTAGATTGCTTTGGCCTTCATTCAAAACGCCATACTTTAGCGCTTTTTTAGGTTCCATGTTCAAGTTTGAGGTATGCTGTAAATATAAATATTTCCGTATACAGTATGTGCGATCGTTGCACTGAGGTAGTTTGAAGGTAACTAGTTCGAATGGATATGTGGACTGTATATATGTATTAAATAAGTGTATCTATATGATCCTCGTTAAAATCAGTTTAATAGAAGCTCCACCTAACTTAGGGCTCACGTTCACCAAGGATGTACGAAGCACTGCTAGTAAACATGCACGACGATTTACAAGCAGTTTGGAGTAGCAGCCTCTCAATGATGGACAGGAGAATATTCTTATTTGTACCGAACGCGGTAAGCGCGGCTTCCGAAAGGCTGTTAGTATTGTGAAACGTTCACACTTTGTTTGAAACAGTTGAGAAGGCGCTCACGGGCGCTCTGCCAGGTGTTCACGGAACAAGTGGTATTGTAATATCCATTGATGACATTTAACCACAAAATTGATGAAAAAAATGTGTGATTACCCACTAATATTGGATAAGGGGCGAACACAGTACAAAGAATTGCAACTGAAAAGATTTTCAATATCTATTAATATAGTCCTACTACTCATATTAATATAATAAAATTGCAACTAAACGGTGTCTGTACATAGAAAATATTTAAAAAAATAAAATAAATAATATGAGAAATCTTAATAAGAGCAATAAATGTTAAAACGAATGTTTGTTCAGGCATCACGCAAAACTACTACACCGAAAAAATTAAGTTTCCACAGATGTATTCCTGAAAGTCTAATTTAAAAATCGGGGTATGTTGATGTATATTTAAAAAACAGTTCATAATAGACAGATAATTTATTTTTTTATTTTATATTATTTATTTATTTATTTATCTATGGTAAGAATGAATATTGAATCTATGGCAAAAAAAAAATAATAAATCTATGATAGAACGAAATTAATTTTAGTTGTTGGTTAATTATTATATTATTAAGTGGTTTTGTAAAACAAGTAAAAAAGCATTTTTTTAAGAAATATAAAAAGGCTTTGTTTGTTTGTTTGAATATTTAATAGTATTTTTATTCACACGGTGTCACGGACGAACCGGACACTACATATGTATAATCTACATAGACCATCTAGGAGTGGTCTATTTCATTGGTTTTACTATCTCTGAAATTCACGTGTACGAAGTAGCGGGCAAAAAGCTAATGCTATGTATTAAAATTAAAAAACTAATCTAATTTTAACTAAGTATGGATGCGGCAATACTTCTATAAATTCTGAAAGTATTGCTTCTCCAAATACACATAAAATTCTACTTTCCTTTTAATAAATACAAATATATATATATATATATATATATATATATATATATATATATATAGTATTCAACTAACCTTTTGTTTCAAATGAATTCCTTAAAATGTTCAACAGATAATCTTCTGAAATCACAACAATATCGACCAAACCAACTGCAAGTAAAGATTAATTAATTGAGAATAAGGAATAGATTGTTTATACTCTAAATTTAAACAGAACTATCCTTAATGATGGAATCTCAAAACATGGTATGATTAATATAAACTAACCCGCAATTTAAGTATACATGACGGTATGCGCTATGATGCTACTGTGACATATATTTCCTAAGTACCTACATGCAAAAAAACATTTTAATGTAAGGTCGTAACTCTATATACTTGGTGATCGTTCTGCACTGCGTTTGTCTGTAAATGATCACTACTCGAAAAGATTTCTTTTTTGGTTACTGGTTATTTGTACTCACCGAGTAAATACATTGAAATATAACATCAGTCCATTCCTAATTTAATCACGATAAATATGTAATACTTTCAGCTTCCCTATTCTTCATGTAGGTAGTTTATTTACTTTGGCACTGCGAGACTAGAGCGACGTCCTTAAAGGCGATTTGAAGCAAATATAGATAAAACTGCTGAATACAACTAATTTTACTATCGTCCAAATCATACTAATAATTAAATTTCTATAGAAAAAAAAATATTTTTCTATGCTTTAATATTATAAATATGAAAGTTTGTAACTAAAAATTTTTGGATGTTTGTTACTAAATCACACTTAAACGGCATTTAAAGAGATTAAACAGATTTGATTGAAGTTTGGTAGACGACTGGATAATTCTCTATCACACATAAGATAAACTTAATACTGATAAACGCGAGGAATGCAGCAAATATAACTATTTTTTTTATACAACTTAGAATAGCAAACAAGCTGACGGTCCACCTGATGGAAAGTGGTAACCGTCGCCTATAAACATGAGCAGTGCCATGGATATAACAGAGTATACTGTTTCGCCCATGATACTCCCCATGCGTTGCCATTCCTAAGGACTCGGGTGTTATTCCTCTGTACCCTGTAAATTCACGCCATATCCCACCCTTCAAACCGAAACACAGCCATGCAAACACAACTGCTTCACGGTAGAAACACGAATGGGACAGAGGTACTCAAGCAATCGACTTTTGTACAGTCTCCCTCTGGCAAATTAACAAAGAGAGAAATTTAAAGAAGCAAATATTGTCACTGTAGCTACACAATTCATATACTTGCGTATATTTTGTATATACACAAGAGTCTTCAACTGTTTCTTAAAAATAGCGATCTCAATAATCTTAACACTAGATACAAATACAAACTTACTGTTCTGATGTATCATTTGGAAAAAGGTAATAGGTCTTTTATAGGAATAGGCGTTAAATGTTACAAAAAGATACCGAAGGATATTTTTAATTAACCTTTTAATAAGGTTTAAATTTTTATAAAAAAAAAGTCTATACACACACACAAAAACACTAAAAGATTACTGGAATGACAAACGTACAAGGTGTTAGTCGATTATGCACGGGTTTTTTAAAGACCAAGTAATTTTAGAAATAGTACATTTAATACGCAGGGCGCACTTAATGCGCCCTGCGTATTAAATGTACCAGTTTTCTGAACCCTGCAGTAGAAATAAAAAACATAACGATTTAAAAGACTACTTCAATAAAGACGATTTTGATCAAAATTTGAAAAAGATTAGCTCATTTGTGAACTAAATCATCGTTTATAGCGATGATTTGTTAGCATGTCTCCCTTCACCTTGATTATGCGAATGCGCGCAACACCAAATATTACACTAACGTGTTTGGTAAGTACAGGGAATAAAAAAACTACACGGTGAGCTTGTGAACCCGCTCCCCACTAGACCTGGATCGGTCAGTCGTGTCCACACTCCGCCAGTGTACCACAGTCATGGCACACGTAACCCTGCAATCGCTCGTTGTTATAACAGGTGAGTGTTTATAGTATTTGTTACAACTGGGTTTCTGGTTGGATGTGTGTGTATGGTGTATAACCATTAAAAATTTGTAATCGTAGTCATAAAATCGTGTATCGCATACAGTTATCTATTTGTTTGCTTAATATATTATTGAATTTTATTGAGATAAATTAAGCCTCATCTTTTCAAACCATAACAAAAACAAGATAATTCTTTCAACGCTAATGTGCCTGAAGGATCTTCCTTCGTTTGTACGAAATTGTTATCGACGTTGTTGTCAATGTCGTATAGTCGGTAGTCTTATTATACATCTATATAAATAAAATAAAGTCGGGTTAGTTACACCAGCCGTTCTGGAGTTACAACACCAGAATGGCTGGACAGATTTTGGTAATCTATAATTTGTTGAATTTATCTCCATCCCGAATAGCAGAATAACTTTTAAAATATCGAAAAGATTCACGCAGAGATAATTATTAGGCGATACAAATTTCAGCGGGTAAGCTAGTAAGTAATGAATCATATTAGGTAAGAGTCGGCTTTTTTAATTTACCAAGTTGTCAGCTTAAATTTGGCCAACGCCAAAAATTTTGTGTCAATATAAATTTACTTACTCTCCACTGTTGAACAACACTGATAATAATAAACAATATTAAATAATTTGGTATATAGAATGTTACGTTCACAACAAGCAATAGTCGACAAATGAAATGACAATTCCAATAAGGACTAGTGATCACTTTAGTTTTTATATTAATAGTCGTGTTGTTAGCATTTAGTAGAGATTTGTATTATTATTAATATGTACATATATTAAAGTATAAATATCATTATAACATATTAATACGATATATTATTATAACATATTGAATAATACTCTTCCATAAAAAAAGTGTAATAATAACATATACTTAACCAATTTCGTCGCTATATTTCATATTCAAAGGTTAATTTATATTTTGTATTATCAATGGTTAATTTTACACGAATTTTTCTTTCTTATATAATCAATTGAATAATAATCCCTTTTATTAACATTCCCCTCTCCCCCCTCCCCCCCAGTAACACATAATTGGTACTTACAATTTTAAATTCTAAATTCGAAAACTACCTATTTATATGCATGTATTGCATACAGAAATGTGTTACTTATAACAATCATAGTTCCACAATTACATACATAAATTGCATCGTAAAAACATTTTAGGGTTCATTGAGGAAATTCTGTGAAATGTAGACTTACTGTCTATGCAATATCCAGACGGATTAGTTGCTAAAAAAATATACCTAATCAGCCGTAACTAGTCGAATAATTGATTAATATTGGCAGCAATCCACAACTTGCGGCTGTCTGTGTAAAGAAAAAAATACCTTAGCTTGACCTAATATAGTATTATATTATCTGTGCTATTTATCCATGAACCAATATTCACTAAAATCTGTTCAGTAGTTTATGCGTGAAAAATTAACAAACATATGAATGTTGTTGTTAACAGGTGGATGGCTACCTACCCATCGTCATAAACATTCATATTTACTATATTTATTGGAATGTCACGTTTATGACAAACAGGATGTTACGTTAATTATATTTATATTGCGACCTTACATACAGTTCAAATAATTAGCAATTAAATAATTTCGGATTTTCCATCTTCATCCAAATTATCTAGTTATAATCTGGATATTTCGTGCAAAATGGAAATTATAGCTGTCACGCAGAACCTTTAAACGCGAGTTGTACTGGAATATCTATGTACTTACCAATTTCTATGCAAAATTCTTTGCACCTTGAATACATACATTGCAAATAATTTATTTTGAAGATATAATATGAAAGTTTTTAAAAATTATATAATGTGAAGCAATACAAACTAATAATAATTTCATATGATTACTAGCTGTTACCCGTAACTTCGTACGTATGGATTTCGAAAATAAACAAACACATCCAATTAGCTATCAAGATAAAACATAAATAAGTGCAGTAGCTTTTGCGTGATGCGGCAACAAACAGAATGAGAAAAATATTGCTTTGGGTTTTACCGCTCTTATCAATGTCTCCCATTTTTTTTTTTTTATTAAATATTTCCTATGTATAGACATCCTCCAGTTACAATTTTATTATATTAATCAGACAATATAGGTAGTTTTGTGTAATATATAACAAAATAAAAGGGAAAGTGTAAACCTTTTAGTATGGTAAAATTGAATAATGTTTATGGAGAATAAAACGAAATCATTGAAACGATAAATAGATATTTCACTGTCTGAGAGAGAGAGGTGTTTGACCTGGGAACATTGCAAAAAGCGGCCCTTAAGAACCAGTTTTGTACCTAACAAGAAAAAAAGTGATTCAAAATGATTAGAGGAGCCTAATAGGTAGTACGTTGAAGAGTTCTTTGTAACAATTCATGGCATAGGTAACAGTAGGAATTTTTTTTAATCTACTTTGAAGCTGTAATTTCTTCATAGAATATAACTAATCAGGTGTTATTACACTTCTTTAGAGATACGATTTACCTCTATTAAGTATATTCTTTATATTGATTTCAGTGTTACAACTATGTCGAGCAGAAATACCAGAGATACAAGGAACATGGTACTCGGCCAACGCTATTAATGACGGCTATTCACCAAAGCCCATTTCTGAACTGTTCACGACTGACAATTCGCCGATATACTCGTCTACTTTTTCAGTAACGAAACCTATAGTTGTACAACCCCTACCTATTACAAACAACATTAATTTTATACCAGATTTATCGACAAATGCAAAAACGACAGTGACGAGTCCACCAAATAGAACACAGACTTATAACACTGAAATTCCAACCGTTACAAGCACAATTTTATCAACACTCGAACCTAGTATAACATTCACATCGACGCCTGCGCCACCATCAACCTTTTCTACTATTCAGTCGCTTACTTCATCTACTATTCAAACACCTTCGACCTCTTCAACACTTTCAACATTATCAACCATCTCTTCACTCCCAACTCTTTCGACTTTGTCATCGTTTGAACCTCAAACAGTCACACAAGCACAGACAAGTGGCATTATAATCAATAACAATCAAGACCAACAATCCACACTCCAATCAAACGATAATACTAATAGTTTACCACCTCAAACCATACGAATCGAGCCACCAACAATATCGATTCCATCAACGACACAGTCACCAAACTCAATACCAAACTACTTTGTAATTTATCAACAGGCACCACAGAATATTCAGACCTTTTCGCAATCGCAACCACAGCCTGAAACTCAAAATATATCACAGCCTAGCATAAATGCTCCAATCACTCCATCTACTCTTCCGCCAAGTATCTCTACAATTTCCTCAACGTTTCCTTCCTCTACTGTTCCTGTTAATCCTTCAATACAAACAACACTGGTTTCGACAATCACAAACCCTTGCGTGACAAGGAATCCGTTAACAAGTTTAAGGCCTACCATAGTTTCTTCAGCGCCGGTATTGAATAGTACCCCGACTACTAGAATACCACCGAATTTTATGATCCGTGTCGTTGCACCTAAAGGCTCTATTACCAATGTGAAATTCGTAGCGACTACAACGAAAAGACCAACAACTAGAAGGACTAAAAAACCAAAAAGGAATACCTACGAAGGGTGCCTGAATTCTTGTAAAGGAAGAAAAGATCCACTTTGCGCTAATCCGTTAGCTGCTCTTATAATAGATCCAAATACACTGAAAGGATTCCCCTCCATTTGTCATTTAGCGTGCCATAATTCTTATAAAGACATTCGTAAGTAACTATTTACTTTTTTTCTTGCTGTAAATTATTTACATTCAGAAATAGAACATCGTATGAGAGTAAATTACATACACAGTTATAACATTAACATATAATGTGTACTTACGAAACTTTTAGCAAAAAAAGAAATAGAAAAATAACATAATAAACAGAGTACTTAAGTACCAAAAATATTGAAATAACCGGCTCTGTACGCCGCGGTGTAAACCGAAAGTTTTATGAATAACAATGCATACAGACGGCAATAATATTGTGTGCTGGAAATAGCGCGTGAAACTACCGGTAAATCTAATTGAATGAAACCATTGAACCGAATTCAAACTGTTAAAAACAATATTCCTTCGTTACTTAATTCATGCAGGTACCAATAATCAATTACAAATCAATAAATGTTACGTCTTAACTAGCCACTTTCCGCTAACATAGGGGCGAGCCTAGCGTTGTGTTTCCGTTTAACTTCGTTTGTTTTTTCTGATTCATTACTTAAGAATCAATTACATTTTTAAATTAACATACCAAAAACTTATATGGTATATTGTTACATTTGAACTTTCTTTGAATCTAAAAATCAAAATTTGTAAAGACTATATAAAAAATAATTAAGACAAATTAAAAACCCCCTTCTTTTAAGTCTCTTAAAACGATAATATTTAACTTTTATTCTTTTTTTTATTTTTATTCCAGCATATGAAAAATTAGTGGACGGCCGATGTAGCAGGTTGCGTACACGCATCATGCAAGTCAATAGCAATACCAAACTCAGAAGAGACGAATTGCTCAAGAGTCAATACAGCATTGTCAGTAATGCAGATCAGACAATAGTGGAAGTTTCGAAACAATAGTTTATTATAGAATAAATTTTAACGATTTTGACAATGTGACTATGGCATAAGGCCAACAAGTAGTCGTATACGACGATCTATATTTAAAAGAAAATGACCCATCAAAACATCTGCAGGTGGATTTACATCGTGATAGTTGCAGGCGCTAGTGGCTTTCTGTCTTATGACAAAATACGAATATATATAATAACAAATATAACAAGAAACAATATATATACTTACAATAAATATAAATATGTACAACTTGTCATGATACATATAGTCTGTATTAAGATTATTAAATGTTTTATTGTAAAGCTGTCTTGTGCATCTAATAATTAAATAACAATAATGTCAGCTCTAACGCAACACCGCTAATGTTGCGTTAGAGCTGACATTGTTTTATACTATGTAGTGATTAATACAACAAAGTCGCTGTCGCTGTCTGTCCATCCCTATATGTGCTTAAATCTATAAAACCACGGAACGGATTTTGAAGCGGTTTTTTTTTTTAATAGATAGAGTAATTCAAGAGAAAGGTTTATATGTATATAATACATGCATAATATAGTAGAGAAACACTGATGTTTCTAATGTAATGTCCTAATGTAATGGAGGGTCGGCGGCGGTACTTAGTATCAAAATTTCATCCGTGCGAAGCCGAGGCAGGCCGCTAGTTTTAAATAAATCTATACGATAGCCCTATATAATATAGATATATAGATAAGTGGCTAACGAGTTCATGAGTTGGAATCAAGCATCGGACGTTTGTTATTTTACGGATTATATGTAATATAATGTAGAGACTAAATACAGTTTATTATTTACATACCTCTACGGAGTGCTGCATGTTATATACCCTCTTGTATATGTAACATCTTATTTTACCATGTAGTATTACAATGTGAAACAGATTTACAATTTATTGTAAATCTGTTTCACTACTCTGACAATATGGTAGTCAATATAAGGCGAATTAAAGTATATATATATATATATATATATATATATATATATATATATATATATATATATATATATATATATTCATCATCAAATCATTGTAAATTTAAAGTAAAAATAATACAAATTTAATTCATTTTATTAAAACTAGTATCCAAATTGATGTATTATAAGCACGCTTATTTACTATTTACACAATTATTGACTAAATTAATATTATTCCTATACATATATTGTTTCATTCAGTCTAATGGAATTTAGTATATTAATATCATATCGAAATCAGAATAACTTCATGCACACATACTTAAGAAATAATAATCGGTTTTGTTTAAATTGATTAAATTATTTTAAAAACATACAGAAACATATTTGCAACTAGTATGTTTATTACAATTATTAACAACAGGGTCTTGATCAGCCACAAACAACCAATGCCTGCGGGATTACATACAAACTCTGTTCTTGTACATTAGGGAAAAATATTATTTTGGCTTGACATAAATTATCCGTATTTTATATTGTAAGTTTCTTGCACAGCAATAGAACGTCTTGGTATGGTCGTGTCATGCACAGAAATGAAAGCCATGTTTTAAAGAAGGATATAAAAGGGGATAAATGTAAAAGAAAAGGAAGATCAAAGAAAAGGCTATGAAAGATGATATGTATATAAGAGTGAGTCTGGAAATTAGTTGACAAGAATTTGTAGAAAATTAAGATTAAAGACATATTGTGCCGACCCAAAACAAATAGGAAAAGGCAATGATGTTAAATGATATTGTAAGTTTTCCTCATGAATTAAAAAACATTATAAAATGTGGATGAAAGCATAAATAATGAGATTTCAGTTAATACGTAAGGCTGCCTTTTAAATCGTGTCGTTTGCCAACCTCCCGCGATTATTAATAAAAAAACATATGGCATTGTCATCTTTTTGAATTCGAAAACAAAATAATGTTATCAGATTGGTCGAATAGTTTTATTGTATCGTCTATTCAAAGGTGACAAGTCGGTTGTAAAAATGGAAATATCTAAGGAAAATTTGCGTGCGATAATTTTCTACAACTTGCAAAGGCAATTATTGCGACTTCAAGTGCTTTAAGGAGATCACTTCTGTATTTAGTGATGCAGCACTATGTCTTAAGACTGTAGAACACTGGTATTTAGAAGTTCGACGTAGGACTGTAACCTCAGTGACAAGTCACATGAAGGTCCTTCAAAAACCGCCATGACGCAAGAGAATATCGAAGCCGTGCGGCAGCTAATCCTCGAAGAACGTCATGTGACATACCGTTAAACAGAGGCATCCGTGGGCATTTTAGGGATCACTGTCTAAAAAATCCTGCACGAAAAACTTGGCATAAGAAAGTTGATCTCTCGTTGGATACCACACTTGTTTAGCGACGACCAAAAAACAGCCCGTGCTAGTTGGTGTCACAAAACTTTGCAGCGATTCAACCGAGGAGGGTCAAAAAATGTTTATGATATGGTTAATAGTGACGAGTCTTGGATATATGCTTACGATCCAGATTCTAAGCAGCAGTTAACTAAGTCTTCCAGGATGAACCAAAACCGACCAAATTCAAATGCTCACGAAGCACATTGAAAAAAATGGTTGCCTCGTTTATAGCAAAGGGTGGTCACATCGCCACTATTGTACTAGAAGATCATAAGACGGATACCGCTGACTAGTGTACCGCTATTGTTTGCCGTAAGTCATCACCGAATTTCGAAAAAACAATTTAAGACGTCGTATGATATTGCACCATGACAATGCAAGTTCGCACACCGCCCGCCAAACAAAGATGTTTTTGAGCACCCAATGAGAGCAATGTCGAAATTTTAGATCATCCGCCTTACGGCCCTGACTTAAGCCCTAACCGTTTTGATAGGTTCCCCACAATTAAGCGAAGTTTTCGTGGTCAATGTTTCAGCTCACCCGAAGCTGTTGACGTATACAAATCGGCCATTTTAACTACCGCCTCTTGGGGGTGGATAAATGTTAAAATATCACGGAGAATTCTTTGAAAAACAATAAATGGTAACAATCTATTAGATTGTCTATACTTATTTCAAGCGACACAATTTAAAAGGCAGCCTTTGTATTTGCAAAACAATGTATTTTTTTATTTGTATTTTTTAATAGACACCAAATTCAGGACTTATTGCAATCCACATTACTGATTATAATAACATGATGGCCAATAGTAATAAGGTTGTGGATAGTCGTTCTAGAACCTCTGTTGAAAGTTTCCTTGTTGTTGCGAGTTGCCGCCTTGTTGTTGGCCTCCAAACATCATTTGTTGTTGTTGATGGAACTCCTGTTGACCACCACCGGTATTATTGTTGCCCTGATTTGGCCCTGAAAAAAAATAAGATAATCATATTAATTCATTGACGATAGACTTTAGCTAAGCTCCTCCGAATGGAATGATAAATGATAACCCTTTTCATTAATAACAACAGAAAAGTAAGCGTGAAAGCAGATTAGATTACACATCGTAACAATGTCATCAAAAATTTTATTAAGATTATTATATTTTATTCCCCCCCCCCCCCCCCCCACCGCTTTTACTGTCATTTTGACACAGAAAAGGCTACTTTTTACCCGCAAACACAGAAAGTTAATAATACTTTTAATAAGGTATCTAACCTTGCATTCTCATTCGCTTGGCATTATTAGCACCATGATCGTGGCTGTTAGCTTGAACTTGATTCTGTTGTGTCTGTAAAAGAAAATAGATATAACATTGTAATAAAAAAAAAACAAGTTACAATATTATAACATTAAAAAAAAGAAGCCTTATCCCAATAGCAAATTACACACACACGTATACATAAACATAGCTAATAACACACACAACAGGAGCGAATGAAAGTGGAAAATAAAGAGAGAACACGGGAAAAAAAACGGGATAAAGTATTTAAATAAATAATAGATAAATAATGTTTATGTATTTTAACTTCAATAGATTTTAAGTTAATAAGGAGTGAAAATATACCACACGGCTGCTGTATGCCCTAGTTCTTGGCTTAAACTGGATTGACACGTTGCTACGTGACTAAATATAGAGTATGACGACAGAATATATTGTGCAACTTTTATAAATTACAAGTAGACAGAATACTTTTTATCCCTTGGTATACTATATAGTATGTTAATTAACCCATTCCTTAAAACTAGTGTAATCTCTAACAGGGTCTCAAAAATGATTTTTGTTCTGGATAAAACACTATATATGCAAAAAATAAAAAAAACAAAACTAGTAACTTACGTTAGGCTGTTGCTGCTGCTGTTGGTTTTGTCTCGCTTTAGAATCACTCTTGTCATCTTGATCATCGTCAGTCAAAAATTCTCTTTTTGGATATGGAATTGGACATCCAGCAAACACATCCTGAAAAGTTATTTGTAATATAATACCTCGGCTTACGTTACTCTGATTTACACGAACCCGAAATTACGCGATCTTCAAATCTCATCGATTTAATTGTTTGAATGTCACACAAATCTAGATAACTTACATTTTATCTCCATTATTGTTAAGTTAGTGTGCATATCCGAACATGTCCTGTGAAATGGACGCATATTTTGGAGCGAGGAGCTCACAGATATGTAAGCGTTAACGATAACACCATTACGCGAATTTGACTTAAGCGTTTATCGTTCAGTTGTACCTATCGCGTAAGTACAACGTATTGTTGTATATTACATTTATAATGGTGGATAATAATTAAAAAAGACAAGTGACTGTGGTTGTGAACACTACACATGAGAGGGGGGAAGGGATTGTTGGTAATAAGGAGGTTAGTCCTCATTGCTATCAATATACCGTACCAGGTCGACCTCCACGCGGTTCCCCCTGGAAACCATCGTAACTAATTTATCGATGAATTCGTCACGATGGGCTAACTGACCTGCCTATTCATCTTCACCAATTATCTCTCACTGGTGCCCCGCTAGTGTATACCGATAGCACAGGCGGGGTCATCATTCCATTATCATCCATTAAAACTACACATGAGAAGAACCGTGTGCATTACTGCTTAAACTCAGTAAAGCACATAATTAATAATGCTTGGGATGGTAAATAAACTAATTCATAACCACTCGCTAGACAGTTAGTTTTTAGCAAGTGGGCCATTAATAAACTTTCTTAGCATTCCAAGTTTCATAGAAATATTGCATTTAGCAATAGTTCCTTTGATATACAATGTATTATGAACACTGGAAAATTATTTATGAAAATGTATTCTTAAGGTCGATAGGGAATGATAGTTTATTTATAGATGTTGATAATGACAAATCTTATTTTGTAATAAAAACAAAAACAAGGTTACCTGTGTTGGCAATGGATCCTCTGTGAAGTAAGGATCCTGCATTGCCTGTTCAGATGTGATTCGTCTATTTGGATCCATTAAAAGTAAACGTTGGAGAAGACTGAAAGCTTTACTGTCTGGTTTTATTTTATGTCTGTCCATATACTTGCTCAGTGAACAATTTTGATAACTAAAACAATAAAAATATTAAATAATTAGTCTTATAATCCATTGAACTCTCATGTGGCATATTAACATATTATTATAATATAAATCTATATTAATATTATAAAGAGGAAAGATTTGTTTGTTTGTAATGGATAAACTGAAAACCTACTCAACCAATTTCAGAAAATTTTTGGCATATAGAATATTTTAAATAAAATTATAGAACTCTACGAAAATTACAATAATACGGCCCAGGGTATCAAAGTCCAATAATATAAAATCTTATTAATAAACATACAGTAAAGCTATATTAATTTTATGCTTTTAATAAAGACTAATAATTATTTTTATGTATTAATAAACACAGAAGGTTTTATACACAATAACATTGTTGTACAATTTTTATAACTTCTATTATAGTTTGAAAACCTGTCCTTAACAAATAATAGTTGATAAGTGTCTTACTTTGATCTTTTGAAATCTTTTATCAAAGTGGGATGTTCTGGCATTTTCCTAATGTCTTCCCAGTCTTTCTCTTGTGGGAAACCCATTACATTGAATATCCTATCAAGCTGATCGTGGTGGTAAGGATTGCTCGTTTTAATATCTTCTTGTCGACAATGGAATATAGGTTCAGATGTGAGTAACTCGGCAAATATACAGCCTATTGCCCAAATATCTGAAAATATGTAAATAATTACACGAGTCACAATAAAAACAAAAATAGATGACTTGTAGTAATTTTTAGCTAGATTATAACATCAAAATATAATGCCAGTTACAATTTGTAACGGTCCAGTATCAGGCTAATAAACTACTATCAAATTTTAAGACAGATTGTGACAAAAACAAAATTGGACTGATAGTATGAATATACAACACGTTTTTTAAGGGATGAAAATTAATTATTATAGCTTGAGATCGGTCCATATTGTATTAACTTAATAACCCACAGTTCTACTATCTAGCAGTATATATCAGTCTGATAGTAATTAGTCACAAAATTAAACAATAAATTTCATGTAATTAACATAAAAAACATACCAATAGCTTTTGTGTAATGTCTTGCCCCAAGCAGTAACTCTGGTGCTCTGTACCAAAATGTGACTACAACCGGATCTAAATCAGCAAGAGGCTTCAGCGGTGCATTGAACAACCTTGCAAAACCCATATCTGCTATCTTTACTCTGCCTCTCTCAGGACCTTCTCCCATTACTAAAATATTAGCTGGTTTCTGTGAAAATAAAACAAATTAGGCAATTAAAATTTATGCATGAACAAATCGTATGATGAGAGAAAATCATATGGAGAAACATTATGTATTGTCTTGAGCGTTAAATAAAGGAACAAACGATAATATGTGCAAGAAAACTTTGAAATAAAAACCTTTACCTGTACCTTATATCTAGCCATTGTGGCCTACATAAGCTCCAGACGCAAAACGCTAATAAATTAATAACCGTGCCATACACAGTAAATCTGATAGATTGACTCTGTGATGGGCCTAATTATATATAATAAATTACCAGACTGTGTAATTGCTGCAAGCAGTCTAATTTCATTTAACAAGAAACTAAAAGACTGGCTTGTCAAGAAGGGCTTCTATAGTGTTGAAGAATTCTTAAAATATAAATAATCTCTAATGATGAATTTTATTAATGTAATAACAATTTGCAGTGAGTGATTATTATTGTTATAAATTAATGTTACTTTTAAACATTATTATTATTATATAGAAAACGAATTAATTGAAAATTGACTTATAATTTTATAAATTACAGGATTTGAAAAAATCCGATTTTTATAATAAATATCAAAAATCCGATTTTTTATATATATATATCAGATATATATCCCGGCTAAGAAAAAGAAGCGAATTTCATTCTGTAAGGGGACTACACGCTTAAAAATGTGAAAGGAATTTGTAAAATAAAATAAATACCAAATTATTACTACATTTATTATTTAAAAAAACTTTTAACAAATAACAAAAGAATTACTTAATGTTTATTTGAGAAATATTTTTTAATGAATAATTAAAAAAAAACAAGTACCTATTATAATTATAATCTTCATTTGTTTGTGAGATAAATCAACAAATTTTAATAATAATTTGTAATTATAAAAGTAATCAATCATTCAACGTCAGGCCTTAAGCATAGATCTATGAGTAGGACATCATCATCTGGCTCCCAGTCCCAGTCAACCTCTGTTTCTATTTCTTCTATGATGTCCTCATTGACATTCACACTGGGATTCCAAATTCAGTCCATATTGTATGACGGAGCTGCAGCTGTACTATGGATGCCCCTTGCAGATTGGTTGAAAATCTTGAAGATATGAACCAATTTATACGCTTTGGGTTCTTAATCTATTACAAATCTTTGATTAAACCAGGCCAAAGGCAGAGAAAATTCTTTCAAGACCTGCCATTGACGCTACTGCTGATAGCAATTATTCACAGAATGCCTGAAATGCTTCTTTGCCATCCCAGTTGAGCTAGATATAAACACAAACGCGGATCGTTTGTGTTCATATCTAGGCGCATCCACCATTCCAATGGTGATGTAATTTTAACAAATTATGACCCAAACAAATATTTGGGAAACATTGACGATTGTGTCATTAATGCCGTTACAGTAGGCATATGATCGAGCTGCATTTTACCAAAAACTTTGTCTCTTTGATCATTGGTCAGATATTTACCCAGAAACAGGTGGTCCAATATATTGGCCAAATAATGAGCAGACCCCAATGCCATATCACGTCTGCACTGGAATAAATTTTTAACTTCTGGTATTTCATTTTCAAAGTCCTTTTCAAGCCGGTGCCATATTTCTACTGCCACGGACATTGTTGTTCCATCCCTTTGGGCCCTGTCTAAGGCCTAGCAATTGGGTCCAAATGGACAGCAGTTGAATTGCTTTGTTCGTTAATTGTGTATCATTTACGATTTTGCTTATGTCGTTATCAATTTCATTTGTATTATTTTGGCATATTTGTACTAGTATTCCACGATTGTCAAGGTAAGACCGAATACAATCTCCTCGTGGTATTCCATCTGACGGTAATGGGCATCACCAACTTTTGACCACCAGCAGCTTTGTACCTGCTAGCAGGCAGATGTTTATTCCGAAAATATTTCACTACCTAATTATATTTCCAGAAACGCCTTTGTTTGCAAAAAATTTACAATCACTAAATAAATTTCTTTCGCATGAGTTTCTGATGTAACAATTACTTGTTTTTTAATAAGTCGGTAGTAGACAATGAGCGTTTAGTTGTGGCTACTGATTCGTTACTTGAAGTTGTGGGTGGGTGTGCAGCATGACTACTAGAAACTGTTGTTGATGAACTTGTACTTGAAATTGAACTAGAAGCCTCTGGTCTTGGACAAATACTCATATGATTACAAAGCCACTCAGGGATACCTTGAAGCTCTTTCTTACACTTCTTACATTGAGCCCATTTGCCCTTGTTACCAATCTTGGCAATAACATTAAAATTGATCCATACAGGATGCGAAGGTTTTGGCATGGCTGTTTCTTTCACGAACTCTGAAAACAAATATTCAAACACTGTCAAGATCTAACTTACTCGTAGACGCGAACTCACTAGCAACGATCCCAACACCAAGAAAAATATGTATCACGGTTGCCACGGGCTATCACATTCACTGACACAGAAAACCCATAAACAGTTTTTTTTTTTACTCATTTATCTTTTGGGAAACCAAATCAGAGTCCACAACAATGTAGTAGGTAGGACTAAGCTTAAGAAAAAATAAAAGTAACACTTACCATGTAGGGTACAAAAAATGCCAGAAAGTAGGTATTTTACACTAACCCCAATTAGTGGACTTCACGTCTCACATAAATAATAAGTTGAGAATATGAAAGAAATCGTAAGCACTAAAAAATTTCGTCTGTAGTATTGACCGAAGTGAAAAACAATAATGAGTCAACGTTTGTCAAATCTTTCGATTGCCACGCTTGCGGGAATTCCCTAGAAAGTGATAATTATTAACGCTAGGAGCACCAGGGAATACCCATATTTTTAATACTTCGTAAAATAAACTTTATATGATATGAAGTTAAGGTTCGCATTTCAATAAAAAGCTAGCCGTACTGGTAAGTTAAAGGGGATTTCCCCAACTTTAAATGAGGTTGCCATTTTGGGAAACAATCTAAATTACTTTAAATTGTAGTTTTTCGCTACATATTGCCAGGGTAAACATTAATCTCCAAAATTTATAGTTCAGAAGACCCGAAAAAATCAATTGATATTTATCAAGATAAAAATCAATTGATATAGGAGTATATCATGATATATATCCACTGATATATATCCACTGATATATATCATGATATATATCCGCTGATATATATCTGCGAACCCTGATAAATTATGAATAAATAATCCATAAATGTATCTGATAGTAAAATTAAACTAATATTCTCATCTTATATAGCATGTATCCATGTAATGTAAAATTATGCCTCAACTTGTAGTTTATTATGCCCATAGTACTGTTCATGTCTATAGGCAACAGTTACTACTTTCCATCAGGTAGACTGTCAGCTTGTTTACCACTTAAAAAAGTTAAATAAAAAATAACACTACATTTTCAGTATTGGAACAATGTATTGTAACAATATTTACATAAAAAACAAAAATCATAGATATAGATGTAGAGTAGGCATGCAAAGCATTACCTAGCTATTCCATAATTCACAAAAATATTGCAATTTAACAAAATTAAGAAATGACTACCTAAAATAAAAACAGTAATATTTGTTTTACTAATATTTAATTGCAAAATGATCAAAATATGTTTTTTGAATTATTAAATATTATTATTAATTATTATGCTATTAATAATTTAATAAATACAGAGAAATAATATTAAATTTAATCTCACCAAATCTCTATGTAGAACCCAATTTGAGTGTAAATAGTGTATACCATCAAGAATTTGGTACAGTAAACTTTTGACCATACCCTTCGGGACCATAACAGACTTTTTATTAGCCTTTGCAGCACGGTGAAATTTAATAATATGCCACAAATCATGCTCTGCATAGTCGAACAACAACCAAACTTTACGATCGGTATGTGACAGGAAGACTCTTATTAAATTGATCACATTTGAATGTTTCAGTTCCCGCAAAAGCTGTAAATTCAAGAATATTGTTAAAATATTTAAACTATTTTTATATATGTATGATATTAAATATAATATATATATATATATATATATATATATATATATATATATATATATATATGACAAATGCAAAGTTGTGGGATATCATTATCAACATCATCAATTCAGCCATTATCTGTGAACAGGGAAAATTCCTTATGGCAGTTTAGGGGGTTTTGCCAGTAGTTTTGCTTTTGGTGATATATTAAGAGGGACACTGTTGCCCATCCCTCGAGCATTAAGTTGTCTTAATCACCTCTTGCAACACCCATGGGAAAGGAGGGAAACTGTAGGATAAGGATAGTTGTAAATAAATCATTAACATATTCAAATATTTCATGAAATGTCATAAATCATAAATAAAATTTATCTGATTAAGCAAAGAGTAGTTCACAGAAATATTTATAGATGAGAAAATAATATTAAAACTTTAATGTCAAAATTTCACATTTTTACAGGCATTATAACAACACACTTTACAGTTCTCAACGTAAGAAAAATGGATGAATTAAAAATAATTTGTTTGTATCCTTACTGCGATTTCCCTGCACGCCGACATAGAGAGACCGGTTCCTTCAATTTGCTTCAAAGCATAATCCTTCGTATCGGAACCATCTTTTCGTCTAGCCTTGTACACATGGCCATAAGTCCCACGTCCCACTTTACAGCCTTCGAAGTCAAACAAATCTTCCACTTTTGATCGCTCATTTTGTGTTTTAATTTTAAAATCATAGTCCATCATAACTGGAGCCATAGTTTTATTTTGAAAATTATCACCCATTCTGACATTTAGTCTTAAGATTGAACCAATAGTTTCTTATATCATTGGTTTGTCTTCTTATGAATTCTAATTTATTATATACTCAATAAGTTCGGTTTCAATGATAATTATTTGTATTTGATAATGTAATAATTGTTAGTATATTTTCTCTTTTTAAGTAAAAATAAGACGGGTGTCAAAGCTAAAGACAAGGAATTACATAGAAGCAATGATAAAATAAAAACTGTAAGTCATATGGTTGCCTCCTTTCTTCTTATACAGATATAATTAGTAAAAAGAGGACGAATGATACACCATCAGTTGTCATTTTTCTCAATTGATAGAAGGCTAGAGTAGAGTATGAAAATGTTTGATATGTCAATTATTTGTCAATGACAGATTTTTCATTACTAAATTATATATTTGACACAGTTTATATAAAAAGTATGCAAATCTGAATTGGGTAGGATTATACAGCTGTATAACATTTTTATACACTAGTATCCTATGAATTGACAATTTAATCTCTCCTTCTATGTAAGTCCCTGTTCTTAGTGTTAAAGAAGAAAAAACTATCGCCCAGAGAAAAGCGATGCGCAACTTAAGTAATCCGATCAGAGTGCTAATTATAATTAGCACTCTCTACAAAATCGAATAATTATTCGATTGAGCATATCGTTCGGAAAATTCAATTGATTTTTAAATAATTGGAGTACTAATTTTATTCATCTGACTACTAATGTCAGCCCACTACTAATGTCACCCGACTACAAATATCTTTTTTTTAGTTGTCATTTTTTACTAAGATGGTAAGGTTTTAAAAAGTAAAACTGAAGATTAGGCTGCATGGCTCAGTACCTTTGCCTTTCCCTGAGTGGGATAAATTAAATTACTTCTACTACTACTAAAGCTACATTTACATTCGCCGCTTCCCCTGGCACTCGCGCTGCCGGAAATAATGCCGCGTCAGCGTCGACGGGAGACAACGCGAGTGAGAGTCGTTTACACTCAGCCCTCATACCAGGCGACACGCAAAGATGGCGGACATCAAGGTTGTTGCGGCAACAGCTGCATGTCTGCTTAGTGTAATGAATTATTTAAATGTTGTGAAAAGAAATAAAAAAAAGACACTATCGCCAAAGACGATGGTGGATGAAAAAAATTCATCTGAATCGAACGACGTAAATACTATAACTTACTATAAGTATACTTTGATATTAGTTTAAGATATGAATGATGAATATTATATTTTTGTTACAGAAACAGCATGAATAGTTTTTTTATGAAGTTGACTCCCGAAGACAATCGAGGCAGCGCCGGGCAACGCCAATGGCATGGGAAGTATCGTGTTTACACTCGCGCTGCTCACTTCCGTGCTCACTTCCCTGCCCACTCGGGCTGAGTGTAAATTGAGCTTAAGATGGTAATGTATTAGTAATAGACACAGACTATGGAATATACTTTGTAGTAAACAGACTCAGAGAAAAGATTTTGTGTGGTGTTTGATGGGATAGTCACCCGTATTATTTGAAGTACATTTACAATTCAATAATTAGAAGCATATTGGAGTATGGGACATTTTTATTGGTACCTGATATGGTACGGCCGTCCAGAAATTAAATAAAATCCAATTCAAAGCTTTATGAATCATTACTGACGCTATGAAAACTAGTTCTATCATTGCCTTGCAAATTGAATGTGTCGAGCCGAGTCGAGTCTGGAGTTAAGACGTAAATTATTGACTGATGGATATTTCATCAGATGTTTACAGTTTTCTCATCATCCTCTTACACCAAAAATAATAGATTATCAAATTTAGTAAAATCAATTCCTCATTGAAAACAAGAAACCACTTATATTAGTAAACAGTTATGACACATATACCGCGCTATCTGCTCCTACACATAATAGTTTAAAACTACCTATTTATTCTATACACTTCAGTGCATTGCTTACAATAGCTAATATTATTTTTAATATAGGTATTGAAAAGGGAAATCCTAATGTCAATAATATCTTCAACACTACAGTAGATGAGAATTGAGAAAATTATCATCATATTTATATAGATGCTTCTAAACAATCCTCTGATGCCACCGGAGGATCCCTAGCTATTGCAATGTAACAGGGAATGATAAAGCAGATTACCTTGCCAGTTAAGCCTCGGTTTGTGGTGACCTTTTTCTTTTTACGAACTATTGGACGGGCAACACTAATTTCCATTTGTTCGTATTTTGTTCACATAATTTTATCTTTGTCTGATGCATACTGCAACTGCATCATTTTATCTCTTACGAACGGCTAATGCTAACAAACCTGAAAATCGTGCTTTAGCTAAATATCTACGTTCCGTATTCTCTATGTCGCGGGGAATTATTAAAACTTAAAAAAATATTCCTAGCAATAAGTATGAAATGGACCACGGATTTTTTGTTGTTTATTTATGTCTCTCTGTGTTATCTTGCGCGTGTATTGAAGATAATGTAATGTGGTTCTATTACTAGTGCTAGTGCTGTTAATGTTGAACAGTTTTGGAGTAAATTAAGTTGTATTGCTAACAGTACAAGTGTTCCTAAGTACAAAATTTTACTAATTTTGTAAAATGGCTAATATGCATATCTATGTCAGACGCTGAATATGAAAGAATTTTTTCAAAAGTTAATCATATAAAAACTAAATATAGAAACAGGTTTCTAGCTAAACATATTGCGTGCCTGTTGTATGTTAAGCAAGGTCTAAATGAGGGGAGTGTAGGTTGTGTCTCAATTGACCCTTTGAACGATATGGTAAAAAATAATCCGTCGAATACTGACTATTTGTAATAAAACTTATTGTAAATATTTATTATTTTAATATGTCTGTAAAATGAAGGTGTGTAATTGGTAAAATTAGAAAAAGTGATAATAAGTGTTTTAATTAAAATTTTCCTTTTATACTTTATATTTTTGTATTTTTTTAGTATAATTCAGCAAGTGCTGCCACCTTGTAGTTTTAGTAGATCACCATTTTTTAAAACGGTCACACTGTTCATGAGCCAAGTTTAGTAACAACAAACGCGCATTTAGTTTCATAATACCCTTTGGAACACTATTTTTGACGAAGTCTAAAGCTAAAGCATATTATTATAAATTAACTTATAAACTTGATACTAATATTGTTATTTTGTTACCACTATTTATCAATATGGATATAAGGGAGGAAGAAGTTAATGGTAACCACGATGCCATTGTTGATATTTTGATTAAAGTGTTTGGGAACGTTGCCAATCGAGACGTTATCAGTGCTGTTGTCGAGAACTGTGATTCTGATTGTAAGTACCAAGTTATTTGTTTTGTTGAATCTGTACCTTAATTTTGTTTGTTAATCCTTTTTGGGGTGTCTGCATTGTGTATATTTTAATTTAAAACTACGAAATTATTAATTGTTTTTGTAGGTTAAAAAGAAAATTGTAAAACTATGTGGCGTGTTGAGATTATTTGTGGTGGGAACTATGGGCTGTCTTATTGCGGGTTGATAATGAAATGTTAATTACGCTTGCGTTATCGATGGATGATGTATGAATATGAAAGCGATTAACCATGATAATTTTTAGGGTCAGCTACTTGTTATTCTTGGTTACTAACAATCTATCACCCCTTAAACAATTTTCTACTGTTACCAATATACCTTATAAGGCTGAACTCCATCTGGCTACCATGTGGTATTTTTCTGTAGAGTTAATCATCTTGGGCCAAGAGAGTTTGCTTAATTCTCACTTTACTATGGATACTAGAAATAATCTTTAATGAAGCAAACTTAAAACCTTAAAATTAGTTAAGTATTTTTAAACACATTGTTAAACACAAGTGTATGTAATATCTGTGCCTCTAGTGAGAAAGGGTATAACTCAAGTTATAGCCTTTTCCTTTTTTAGGCTACTTTAAATAAGCAAATTTTTCTCTTTCGAATGGTATAAGAATCGTAACGATATCTTTAAAAACAATAGAGATAGTAAACATGTAAAAGGCTACAATTAACAAAATATTTGTGGTAAAAAAGTCATAATTAGAAATAAAACTACAATATTTTACAAAAATTATTTTTGTAAAATGAATCAGTTCGATTTGAACCCTTTTACACCATTTAATAGCGATTATTTTTTTTATAGCGTAAAATACACAACATTGTTTTTCTTCAATACTTCAATAAAATAGTTTTAATTCAACTTAAAACTATTTTCACATCATAATTTTAATATTTTTGTTAAGTGTGATTAGGTATAATAGAATTATTTTTAAAACTATAGGTTTTACACAAAAACCGACAATTTCATAAGAAAGAGGAGAAAAAATTACTATAAATGCAATCATTGACTTGTTCAATTAGCAAATAATAAAAGCAGCAGAATTTTTTTTCTTTATTTAAAATAGTTTTTTGGCTCTCCTGAAAAGTGACCATTTTGAATTGAACCCTTTCTCACTAGAGGCACAGATATAATCTCCATACAGTACAATGTGTGGAGGCAGTGTGTTAAATAGCTACATCAGAATTTTCACATGTTACTTGGCTTTACAAAGATAAATTATTTTCAATAACTGCATCTTATACTGATTGTCTAGAATTCTTCAGGATGAAGTCTCTGAGTCAACATAGAAAAGTTATATAGATCTTATAATGTTGTTCAAGATTTTAAATGGCCTTTTTTTGATACCTGATGTTCTTAAGGATATACGTTTGATAGTACCACATAATTTCAATATTAGATCAGCTAAAATAGTTAACACATTTTCAATATATGCTTGTCGTACTAACTTAGGATCCAATTCTCCTCTTAACAGAATGTTATCATCCTATAATAAAGCTGTAAATGCTGACCATGATATCAACATCTTTGGTAATTCTTTAGTGCAGTTTACTAGGCTTATTAATAATATGGATCGGTAATTAGGTCTTCTCTAATTGTATAATTGTTACTTGTATACATTGACGCTTATCTGTGAGAGCTGTATACACCTTTAATTGATGTGTTCATATGGCCTTAAGGTTGGTAGTGAGGAGTGTGATGTTTTTGTTCAAGTAAACTTAGATTTAAGCATTTTTGAATAATAGTTTTTCAAGTTTTACTTATAACATTGTATATTGTCTGCTTGTTTTGAGAATATTGTTGGTGTCTCTTTTATAAATAAATTTCTTCCTAAATTCTGTTTCATGCATAATTAGTGACCCACCTCAGCATTGTATGGGTAATAGATTTTTTAGATCATTAAAAGAGAAACAATCCCACTATACATTGTTTTCTTATATATCAAACAAGTAGTGTTTTTGATAAAAGAGCTCTCTTTTGCTGGACTTGATTTCACATAAAGATCCTTTATACATTTTAAAAGCTCTAAGTGTACATATACTATAAGTGACATTCTATTATTGTGATTGATAAGTATTATGATTTTACATAAAGCTTATATTTCATTTGGTTTTTAATAATATAATAATAATCTTTGTTTTCTCATTGTGATTATTTCTTGTAATTATTTATATTTATAATAAGGTTACTATTGTAATCTTTTGGAGGAAACAATAAAGAGTATCTATCTATCTATCTATCTTTATTTGCATAAACACAGTAAAGTCAAAGATGTTACATTAGTTAAAGAACATTCATGCTTAGCTAACAATGTGATAGCATGCAAATTTATGTAATATTAACAATTAACATTTTGTTTTTTGTTTAAGAAGTCTTTTACATCATAAAAACTATTTACATTCAGCCAAGTATACATTCTCTTTTTAAATAAATTCACATTTAACAATTTTTTTCATTTGGGTATTTATTACATATTTATACACACATAGTCTAACAACTTTTTTCATATTTAGCTAACCAGGGAATGTCATCCAATATGAGCCTATTTGGATTACATCATTTTCATGGATATATATCAGTAGCTTTTTTAAACAAATATTGCTGTGTTACATACAAATTTCATAAATATATAGTTAGGGTAGTATTAACAAACCAAGCTTCTTAAATACCAGCTTACATTCACAAGATGAAAGACCATACAATGCTTTAATAATTTTTTTTTTTTGGGTAAGAAATGCACTATCTTTTTCTGTGCTATTGCTCCACATTATAAGTCCATATCTTAGTATTGATTGTATATATGCATTATATGTTGTGATTGCTGTTTTAATATTTGTCACATTTTCAAGTCCTTTAAGAGTGTATGTGCAATAATTAATCCTTTTAGAAATGTATCTTATATGAAACTTCCAATCTAAATTTCCATCTACATTGATTTCTAAAAATTTTGTTTTATTTTTTATTGTTATGTTAATGATAAAATTAATATTTGTCTCTCCTTCAGATGGTTGTAGGTTTGATTTTAGTACAATACAAACATTTCTATCATGTATGTCTGCATTGTCATTATGTCTGTATCTATTTTTTTTTTTATTTTAAAAGAATAAAACAGTTACCTAAATTATGGTATATAGTATTAGTTGTTGTACTACGTTATTGTTGCTGGAAATATTGTTGCGATAATATGACACATTGCTGTACATGTTGTTTTTTATGTATTTAGGCATGGGGATTAAATTTTATCCATGTGATAAGTAAAATTTTAATATCAAAATTAAATTATTTGTATATTTTATTTATCTTATGACCTTATGTTATTGATTTAGTTCCTTACAAAATTCCTACCCTTTAAGTAATTTTTTTTTAATTGAAAATTATTATTTCATAAAATGTTTTATGATCAGTCATGGTGTCCTATACTGTTTGGTTACATCATTGAGTTACATCAATCCTAGAGATGATTACTTTATGCACTTTATCAACAATCAATTATCAAACATTTATGATAAATACCTCAGTTAATATTAATTCATAATTATTTATTGTTCAAAAGTATTAATTTATTGCAAATAAGTACTAGTAAAATGTTTAAAAAATGTCAGAGATGTTTGAGCTATAAGTATTTATAAATGTTCATTAAAATTATATGCTGTAATGAGCCATATTGATCTATATTAAATGGACAATATATTTAAGGTACATAATTGGATAAAAAATTATGCTCTATTGCTTAAACCTGCTGCTGTGTTACCTTTTTAAGGTGTACAATACTGTAGTACATTATTTTGATTTATCTCATGGGATTCAGCCAGCGTTTGCATTGTAATTGCAAAAGTGTGTTTCTCTACAATATTATGCATGTATTATACTTATAAACCTTCCTCTTGAGTCACTCTATTTATTAAAAAAAAACTGCTTCAAAATTTGTTGCGTAGTTTTAAAGATTTAAGCATACATAGGAAGGACAGACAGACAGTGAAAGCAACTTTGTTTCATACTAAGAAATAAAGTTTAATATGAATACTGAACCAGTACATGATTTTTATTTCCTCTTAATAAAGTTAGGTATAAGTAAATAAAAAGTTTTAAAAATATTTAGAACATTATATCTTACCAATATAAAACCCAGACATTTAATAAGAATAGTAAATATAAAAATATGGAATAAATAATATTTTTTTAGGATTTTTGACTCTTTTTTACTTCTATGATAATTTAATGTAGTTTTTTTAGTCTTTTATTTCTTCTTTTGATCTAAAATTTCGCATTCTCAAAGTTCAAAATTGGTAGCTACACAAGTGGATCTAGGTGGGTAGATTTAAGTGAAAATCTTTTTCTTTTGTAAGAATTGCTTTATAGATTTGCCAATCATCTATCTGATTTTACAGTATTTCTTAAAATCACTTGCTACCTTCCCATACTGCGATCCAACTTGATTTTGGCTCCTTATCTTATTTAAATTTTTATATTTTTTTATGTCATGCTATTTTTTTAAAGTCGATCTATGTCGTTTCTTTCTAATATGCAGCGAATTGGAGGTTTAACATTCATAAAATGCTCGACATGGCAGGCAGGATTGCCATGTAAAGTAGGTAGTTGGGGAGATGAATTAATACTGAATTTCGGATAAAGAATGCTCATATATTGCATTAGATAATATATTTTACATAGTTATATAGGTTGATGTTATATACACAATAGTTTATATGTATTTATGACAAGTAGTATTTAAGTATCTCAATTGTCTAGTACTCATGAGCAGGATCTGCTTTGTTCAGAACAAGATGGCGTTGTGTAATGTGTCTAATGATAATTATTTATTACTTATATATTTATGCACACATTAGTTACTTTTATTTATAAATGAAATAATATTACAAGTGGTGATCTTCACATTATAAAACTTAATACTTATGTTAAAAAATTACATACTTAAATACGTCTATGCTCTTATCTGTCTTCTAGGTGTAATAATTGTTTTTTACGTATATTTTTCAGAATTATATTTTAAAGTATATAATATTAATTATAATTAAAAATCAATGATGTGTAATGTGACATTATTTTTTTCACAGTGAGTTTGTCAGTAGAAGCTATGATGGATATCACAAAGGAGTCTACAACACAAGATGTCACACCAATGGAAATGACACCAGTTATTAATAATCCTGTCACTACTCTGATACGACCAAATGAGATAACAAGGGAAATGGATAAGCTTACTGATATAGAAGCAGTAGTTATACAACAAGAGAAAAATATACAGACAACGCCCGACTCCAATACTTCTGTGTCAATTGTCTCACCAGTGGTACTTTCATCCAATACAAATGAATCAATCAATCCCCAAATACCACAAGCGGAAGGTGTACCTAATACTCAAGAAAAATCATATTGTTCTGTTATGGTTAACAATAATGTTCATGGTGGATTCAGGCTGGCTTCAGGTAGTTCAATGCCTAATACTGGAGCTATTCCTAAACAACTAAAAACAGATTCACATCAATGGTCTGATAATTTGCAACGAATTGTACAAAATCATAATGCAGGGTTTAGAATATTTATAATTTTGAGGGGTGCACCTGGTAGTGGAAAGACTATTTTAGCTAGAAAAATAATAGAATGTGTTACTGGATCTGTTTCTGATAATTTTAATATACATGTTTTTAGTACTGATAATTTTTTTAATGTGAGAGGGCGTTATCAATTCAATAAACATTATTTGTCAGAAGCACATATTTGGAATCAAAATAGAGCGAAAGCAGCAAGCGTATCCGGTCTTAGTCCAATTATTATTGATAACACCAATATAGAAGAGTGGGAGATGGAGCCATATTTGAGAATGGGCGTTGAAAATGGTTATATTATTGAAGTTATGGAGCCAAATACACCATGGTCCAAAAAACCACAGGAATTGGCAAGAAAGAATATACACAATGTACCAATAAGGACAATTCAAAGAATGTTAGAAAATTTTCGTCCTTGTACAGTCGATTATCTTTTTCGACGTTTTAAATTATCGTACCCTATCAATATGAATCCACCTATCTTACGTAAAATACCGATAGTTGATAAAGTTCCCTCTTTATATAATTTGAATTCTTCCACAAATTCTATTAAGACTAATGCAATAAATACCTCAACATTACACCAAAATGTAAACGATCAAAGTAAATGTAGTTTGGTACCTATTGACAAGAAAACAGTTGATATACAGAAGGAAACGAGTAACATTTCATTAGGTGACGTTTTTCTGAATGCTACAGATAGTGATATTGTTCTTGATCCCAAAATTGAGGAGCATGATGTATGTAAGATATCTAATGTTTGCAAGACTGAGAAACATAATGAGCATGATGTGAATAATGATGAAATGAAACAGAAAATGGTTTATCATAACATTGAGAAACATTTAGAAGAAATTGAAAGAGTTGAAAGGGAATGGGAAAATGGAGAAGCATGGGATGATGATAATAGTCAAGAAAATGCTAGCAGTGCAATAACCAAAACAGAAAGTGTTTTGTCTAATCAACCTAAATCACAAAGATCTAAATATAATGATGAAGAACTTATGAGCATGGTGAAAAATTGTCCTGACTGGAGTAAAATATGCATGTTTATGCCGCCCTGGGATGATAATATCTCTACAAATTTAGATAATATTAAGACATCTCCAGAAATGAGAACTAGTGCCACATGTATAGAATTGGGAGATAGTTTCAATGAAAAAAATCAGTATAAAGTAATGATTGCTACACCAAGAGACATTAATTTATATCATATAATTCCAAGTAAGGATAAAATACCTAACATGCGTATGTTGGACAAAAGTACCATGACAAATGAACATCTAATGATAGAGAATTATAGGTGTAAATATGAGGAGCAACATTTTAATACATTTAGGAAAATGTTTACACATTTACCTATAGCTGCTCTAAGGGATATTTTCGATAAATGTCAAGGTAATGTTAATTGGGCAGTAGAAATTGTTATTGACGATGTTAAAAATAGTAGGATACAAACATTGGATGCTGAAGATATGCCTGATACAAATGATACTGTTGAATGTGATTGTATGGTTGCTTATAATATTATACCTGATACAAAGATGCCAAATTTGTTTTCTACAGATATACCCCAATCACAAACATCAACTAGTGTAGATTTACAGACGCGAAAAGCAAAAAAGGAGAGTGTTAACTCTAAATCGTCCCTACAAATAAAGCGACAAATAGAAAGGAATGTTGTAATATCAGAGAACCATTACTCAGACCATTGTTTAAGAATTAGGAAAATGCGCAGAGGTGAATTAAATGAAACAGATAATTTGCGGACAACTACAGAAGAATTAGAAAATGTACCAGGAACATCGTCACCTACGACAAATCAGAAATTAGTATCATCAGTTGAAAATTACACTAGACAATATAGTGATGATGAGTCGTCTAATACAAGTACGGAGGATAGTGAATTCGTAAATATAAATTTAGGCAGTGAGTTTGTGAGACAATTAGATGAACTGTTTGGCAGAAAGGATATGACTTATCCAGACAACATAATTCCAAAGATTAGTTTACCTAAATCACTTCTGAATGAAATAAATGCATTATGGATAGAGTCATTAATGTATCAGTTAGATGAAAAAGAAAAAAAATCAGAAATGATGTTACAAGATGAAGAATTTGCCAAGTAAGTAGTAATTTGATTAATACAAAGCCTAATAAATAAACATGTACCTAAGAGTAATAAATACCAGATAGTAATAGTACAGTCAATGATGGCAAAAATCAGCTGATTTCGCTGAACCTCCATAGATTTGGATGAAAATTTGATATTATGTTTTACCCTCTACTTCAAAAGTGACATATGCTCATCTTGCGTTTTTTGTGCATTTTAGGGGTGTAATCCACCCCATTTTTTAAAAATGGGTAAATGTGCAGATTTAACCACTCTGGCTTAAGTAATTGTGTTTAATTTAATAAAATAGATATTTTTTTTAAATATTTATATGCATGATTTATGATTTTAATTAATTTTTCAACCCTTTTAGCAACCACCCCTTAAATCGACAATCATGAAAAAATAATTTTTTGTATTTCTGAGTTTTAAAATCGCATATTTTTATATAACTTATATATAACTTTACATAAACAGTTTGTTTGATACTTTTGATATAATTTTTGGTTGATAGTGAAATTTCAACCCTTAAATACTACCTCCTTATTGCAGAATCACTGTAAAAATTGGTTTCAAAAACTTTAACCTATTAAATAGTACATTATTGAATTGAAGTCTTATTTACGGAGTATTAAAATATTTATTTATTTATTGCGAAATTTTTCACCCTTAAAAACTACCCCTTGTCATAATAAAAATGGAACAATTTTTTTGTCGCCTTTAATTATTTAGAACCCTTTTTTAATAGTTAAGATACATTTTATTAATATATATCAAACTTTATTAATATTATTTAATTTACATTCTTCAAACTACCCTTTGTGCAAAAAGTGATGAAAAAGCATACTTTAAACTTGGAAATATTTTTTTTAATATTATTCGAGTCCTGCCATATTTTTTTACATGTAATTTAATTTATTAATTAAGAGAAAAATGAATTAAAATACATGTTTACCATTCCTTTCACTTTCTCTATCTTAAAAACACACACACACACACACACACACACTCATACATGTGTATTAAATAAGCATGTACCTATTGACACGTTTTCCTATATGCGCGCCAAATCTGCTCCAAAAATGTTTCCATAAAAATATTTTTTTTTTTACAATAACTCCGTTAGTTTTTAAAATATCAGGTTCATTCAAAAACCATTTAAAAGGTAATTTCAAGAGTTATAAGATCGTCTTAAATAAGAATTTTTAAAACCCTTATTTTTTAAAAGATAAAGGGTTACAGGGTCCCGGTTACACGGTTCTCGCAGTAAAAGTTAGGCTTTAAACTTCTCTATCTCGGTCAATTTTCATCCTATAAAATTAAAGAACCAAAATCTTTGTTAAAAAAAGAACTCAAATTTCATTCTTTATAATTTTTACGAATATCCAATATTTTTAAAGTTATTTTCAAAAGAAAGTGAAATTACAAAATTTAAAAAATTTCGATTTTATTAAATCTTACTTTTTTTTAATAAACATTCTAAACTGGATAGAATATTTGAGATCATCACTTATGCTAAGAAAAAGAAATTCCTTTAGGGATAACCATAAACTTGAATTTTTGTGGAAATGGTGGTTTTATTTTTCGTTTGTTCCAAAAAAATTCGAGTGTCATTTTTAGTATTTTAAAGGGTGTTTAGGAAGTATAATATATCATAAAATGCATCGGTTTCCCGTTATTTAAGTTTGAATACTTAGATTTAAATACTCGCCGAAAAAAATATTCATACAATTACCTATAGCTTACTTTGAATTAATATTAGAAGATTTTTCAAAGTAGGGATTTATTTGTTTTTTTATTAGCTTCAATTTTGGTACTGACACATTTTTTTATGAAAACTCATAGTTTTTGAGTTATTTATGAAAAACTGCTTTAAAACATATTATCACGAAAAATTATAATCTTTGATCTTTAATAACTCTGAAAGTATTGGTTTATTCCAAAAACTGTATAACAAATTTTACTTAGAATTTGTCTCTCTATCGATGCCTGGAGTTATTTTTATTAATTTTCACTTCCGAGAAGGGGTGGCATCCACTCCTAGGGCAAAAGCGCAAGTTGGCACTATGTCACTTTTGTTTCTTAAAGTATTCCCCACCTGCTCGCCAATTTTCATGAAAATCGATAGAGATTCAACGAAATCAAAGGTGAAAACCTTCATTGACTGTACTATAAGATGTGCTTTAAATAGTACCTTTGTTAGGTAGTCTTAACTGTCATTTTGTTGTATTTTATAAATGTTCATTTACAAAGTAAACTGGTTTGCGAGTGGGCGCAGCGTTAGCGATTATTTAGTGGAATAAAAGTAATTAAACACCATAGTGAGCTTAATTAAAGTGTATTTATAATTTATTTTTTATTTTAGGTCTGTTATTTTTGGCTACAACTTTAACAGATTTTTTATAATTCTTAAATGATATTAAATATATGTTTTTTCTTTTTTTTTTGTAGACAACTAGCTGCGAAAGAGAATGAGATGGCTGTGGCTGGCGAAGAACCTCAAGTACCAGATTTTAAGGAAATTATGGACATGGATTTTGCTATTTCCCTTTATCAGAAAGATGTATCCGCGTGGCGTAGCAAAGAGCCAAGTGATTTAGCAGCCAAGCTGACTCGGGAGAAGTTGTATAATTTATTTCCCGAAATATCACAAGACATTTTATCAGAATTACTTATGGCGCATCATAATAATTTTCAAGCTACTGTAGAGGTAAAAATTGAACTTGTTATTATAATATTTTCAACGGACTTTATTAAGATAATAGATTGACTGTAAATATTTTTACTAAACATTTTTTAGCATACCTATTGATAGACAGTTATATGAGTCGGTATTGTTGAAAATGAGAAGCTTAATTTTTAGCGACTTTCAAAAGATTATTAAAATTTCAATTTAAATTAAAATGACAATTTCATTATATTATAAGAAATTATAATGTCAATCAATAGAAAAAAAAAATATGATTGTATCTCCTCAGTATTTATTTATTACTTTTCAGGGTTTACTGATGTCTACAGGAGAAGAAAATATTGTGAAAGATAAAAATTATGTGAATAAATTTATAATGGAGAAGGAAATGGAACGGCAAGAGAAGCTTTTGGAAGAAGAGAAGAAAGTAAGTTATAATTTAATTGTTAAAAGTTTCGGAAGTACACAATATGTTTTTAATGTTAGAAAATCCGAAATGACTTATGTGTTTTTTTTTTGTCGTGAATAGTTTTGTGTTCAGACGCCTATGAGTTAGGTTTGCGCTCGCATCATAATCGCTCATGATTAAAGGAAACCCTTATGAAACGACGGTCCCGAAACTAGTTGATCATTCCCTATAAAAATACACAGTTGTTAATCCGGTTTCATTTACTAAAGTTATAATTGATGGTCTTTTTTCGATGTAGGTCATAAAAATAAGACAATAATAATATTACACAATCATACATAATTTACATAGAACTTTTTATTCTAGCTATATGTTCATTTTATCTATCAATATTTTTTTTTATCGAAATCAAGATTGTTTATTAACTAAATAATGACAAGTATAACGTTAAACATTATACAGTGGTGGTAATATAATTAGAAACACTTCAATGAATAAATAAAGTATAACTTAAACGTACAAATGTTCTTAAAAAATATACACATTCAATAAATAATAATCATGCAATAATATAGCCACTTAAATAAAAATCTCGCTAAATGCTTAAAATATATCTTACTTTTAATTACAAAATGAGTCTTTCACATGTAGGAGTTTATTTTCTGTTATTGGCCGTTTAGACGTCTAATTTAAAAATGCATACATGCACAATACTAATTTTGTCCATACCTTAAAACTAATGTAAATATTTATCCGTAATGTAATATTGAATCTGCATTTGTGTAGTGGGATTTATATTGTTTTAATGATAAATCGTTGAACTTATTGTTGTCCTATTTAAATTAAACCAATTTCAAAATAATAACGATTGCGGTGAAGTATCTAACATAATATCAAGGACCCTTGGTAGTGTTTCTATATATACGCTCGCCTGTGTACGTTGTGATTTATTTTATAACTAGATAGCTGTATTAAATGTGAATGTACAATAAATCTTTACAAACAGACAATCAAAAAATACTCTTGAATTAATACACTTACATTACGTTACATATAAAACATAGTCTCGGATATTACAATTACATACTGATACAAAAGAAAAATTAAACTGAAAACACAATAATCATTGCTGATGTTCTTATATATGTTAATAATAATGTTATTATAACAAATTTGTTATTCTAAACAGGCTCTCGCAGAAACGGAATGGCCGTTCTTACCGAAGACCGAGAAAATGGACATGTCCACTGTAAATAGTTACCGGGAAGAAGCCGCAAGACATCTGACGCGCAGAAATTTGTAAGTTATATCTTTTTGAGCACATAATAAAATGTTCTTTTAGAAGAAGTTTTTAGATGTTTTAGAATGATCATTTCAAATATCGACGCACATTTAATTGTTTTAAACTTTCTTTCCGGTTATTTATGTTTTAACATATAGTTGATACATATACAGTGTCCATTTTTTTATATGTATCTAGTTGATTGTTCTCCTTAGTGGCTAATAAAATATTAGTAAAGATTCAAGATTTATTTGTAAACATGTATATAAGTACATGCAGATGTTAACAATATAACCTCGTTCGACATGTTTAGCCTGTATGGTATATAAAATATGTAACTGTTCAAATTATACATACAAGTCAATTTCATACAATTAATTATCATCACATTCTGATTTTAAATGCATTTAAATAAATAATTATTATTATTATTATCAGGTAAGAATAAAAGAACGATGTCACAATAATGTTAATAAATATAAATAAATATTCGTTTTGTCAAATTTTATCGATAAATAATTTATATACATTGTAATAACATTTATCGATTAAGATTTTTTTTACTTTTACATTAAATACACTAGTTGGTGAAACTTTTATGGGTTTTGGTATTTTACTTTGATTTTTTTATAGATTGATCACGTTTTTTAATGCGGTATAGAATAGTGATGAAAGAAGTTTGATACTCAGAGAGAACATAATTTTCCTGGATAAACACATAAGATATTTTTAGCTTATTTCACGCAAGCAAGTTCAGAGGTAAATAAAAATGCGTAAAGATAAATAACAATGGTAAAGTGTTTATATAAAATACCAATAGATTATAAGACAAGAATTGTTCATACTTTGAACCTAGTATGTACAATAATATCAACAAACGAGCCTGTCTACCCTACCAGGGGTTACAGTCGTGATTGTATATACATTTATAATTTCCAATGAAATTACGTTTACAGGAGTTATCAGAAGGCGCAAGAATATATGCGTCGTGGGATGACGGAAGTCGCCAGCTTTTATTCAAATGCCAGTGCATACCACAAGTCGCAGTATGAGCAATATAATAATGTAGCTGCCGCCTTGATTGTACAAGTAAGAAGAATAATTAAAACAAAATTAACTTGATCACATTTTCACAAATCACATTACCTTTTAAATTGCTATTACATGACACAATACCTTCTTATAGGATACATTATTTAATAAAAATTAATGAGTACTTTTTTTTTAATTAGAAAATAGAATCTAAACAGGTTGACGACCTACCTGATGGAAAGTGGTAACCCTCGCATGTAGAATATATATATGAACAGCACCGTGGACGTTGTGGTGCCCATTGTATCCCTCATTTGTTACTATGTTACAAAGAACTAATTTTAATCTTGCACATTACTAATACATATACATATGTATTTCTGTGTGTCTGTTACAAAAAGCAACAACTATTATTTTTTTAGCTTAAAAATTTAAATCAAATTCATGTTTGTATTATTTAAAATGTTATTTTTAAAACCTATGTTAATCTTTTAACTATACTCGTATCTATATGTATGACGTGAATTCTATGATTACTATTTTTTTTAATGCAACTATCTGACGGACTACATGATGGAAAGTAGTAACCGTCACCTATAGATATAAGCAGTAAGTACTATACATATATATCAGTGTTACCAAATTATGTATATTACCGGACCAATACCGGTAGCATTTTTTGATGGGTGAAAATGGTATGGTAACCCCACCTGCGCTAACGGGATACGCCGACGGAGCACCAGTGAAGTGTGATAGATGAGAATGAAAACAGGTCAGTTAGTCTATCATGATGAATTGATCAGGAACCAACTATGATAGTTTCCAGGGAAAACCGCGAGAAGGTCAACCTAGTTGGGTATATTGCTAGCAATGGGATTCTCAGTCTCCATTACTAACAATCCCCTTTCCCCCTACCGGTGGCATTGCGCTGGGCCGTTCTTGCCCCGCCTGGCTTCTATTTTAACCCCCGGCATGAATAGCAGCTCATTTACGGCGTATATACCGGGGGTAATGCCCCGGGGTGCGCTTAATCTGTGCATAAAATATACACTCCGGGCGGCCCTGACGGGCTTTAGTCTGTCGGATGTACTCAGGATACTGTATCTCAGCTCCGTCAGGGCCTCGGAGATGTCCTCCACGGGTGTGTCCGCAGGTAGTTCTCGGATGGCCACTTAAAGGTTCCGCTCCGCCGGCAGTTTATAACTGAACCAACAGATTTTTTCTATTTTCTCGAGATCGGAGAGGTACCATTGTATTATACAGTATTCATCCTCTGACCTCGGCGTGATTCTCACCCCTCTTCCGTAGAGGCGGGGATATGGATGAGGGAATGCAAATAATTTGGTAACACTTTATATACGAGGGGAGGTCAAAAAGTTCGCGGAATGGAAAGGTTGGTGGGGGTTGATTTACTCGTCCAGGTAGTCACTTGTTATGCACCTCATTAAGAGTATATATACCAAGTTTAAACCATATCACCTGATTTGATGACCTCATTAACTCAAAAAAATGAAAAAGGAGCTCCGTGGAAAAAATTTGGCGACGATGAAGAAGTCAAGTCTGCAATTTCGGCCTATTTTGAAACCTTCTCTATTTCGATGGTATAAACAAATTATTTGAGAGATCTGAAAAGTGTATTAAGGTTAAGGGTTAATATATTCTATATTGAAAAGGAAAAATAATTTCATGTTTAATTTCAACTCCCTTCCCTCTCATTCCGCGAACTTTTTGACCTCCCCTCGTATATACAATCGTGGTCATATAATTAGAATCACTTATGTATGAATAAAGAAAGTATAACTTAAACGTACAAATGTTCTTAAAAAATATACACATTTAATAAATAATAATCATGCAATAATATAGCCACTCAAATAAAAAACTCGCTAAATGCATAAAATATATCTTACTTTTAATTACAAAATGAGTCTTTCACTTTTAAAGAAGCATCCATAGCTCGTTCTTATTTTAAATTGGAGAATAACATTTCTTTCTTGGCTTTTTCTATTATTTTGGCGGCAAATCAAAATTTGATCTGAAACAAAAATAAATGTGGTAAATTCAGTTGGAAAGCGCTATGTTAGACGCCCTGTAAACAATGCTTTTAATTATAAATACACAAGGATTATAGTCAAGCACGGTGGCGGTAACAATTAAAGTTTTTCCGGATGTGGACTTCGACCCGTTCGAAAGATTGAAGGTACAATGGATCAATGGCAATATAAAAATATCTTAGAGCACACAATGATTCCCTACTCGGATGATCTCTTGCCTGTAACTTGGATCTTACAGCATGACCCTAAACACAGGGCCAAAAGGGTCCGTTTTAGACTGGCCAGCAAATAGTCCGTATTTAAACCCGATAGAAAATCTCTGGTATATTGTTAAAAAGAAAGTCTCAAATAAACGTAACACCAGTCAAAACGAACTATATGAAATGTTAGTTTGTTGCATTTGTTGAAGCATGGAATTCAATGCCACTAGAAACATGTATGAAATTGATTGAATCAATGCCACGTCATTGCAGCGCGGTTATTGAAAATAAGAGATACGCCACTAAATACTAATTATAACTATTGATAGGTTGTGATAGTAGCTATTTCGTAAATAACAATACTAACTACTAGTACTTAAAAATATTATTTTTTATACTTTTTTGTTCTTGATTCTAATTGACTATTATTGTTCATACCTTGGAACTGATTAAAATGTTTGTTCGTGACGTAATATTGAAACTGCATATATTGTGTAGTAGGATTTTTTTTTCTAATAAATGATAAATCGTTGAACATGTTGTCGTCCTATTCATTGTTTAATTTCAAAATAAAAACGATTGCGGTGAAATATCTTACATAATGTCAAGGATCGTTTATACGACTACCACTGATACATTTATATATATATATATATATATATATATATATATATATATATATATATATATATATATATATATATGATAGCTTAGGAATAGATGGCGCTTTCGTATCTATCTGTATTTATGTATCGTTTTATGTGCAGGTCCACGCACACAATAATCCAAGCAACTCAACCATTGATCTCCACTTCTTACGTGTCGCTGAAGCCAAAGAGTCCCTCGATGTATTCATCGACACCCATATTCAGAAACTGAAGGAAACCCTAACTCAAAATAATCGGGCTCCAAAATCCCGTATGCTGTTCTTAATTACTGGTCGGGGCTTACATAGTAGAGGCTCGCCTAGAGTTAAGCCCGCAGTGAAAAGGCGGTTACGGGAACGCGGATTGCGGTAAGTACCAATTGTTATTTTAAGCTACACCGGAAATGTGTTTGTTATTCCATTTGTATTTTTATTCATTTATTTAGGTATATGCTTAATTTATCAAATATCTGAAAATATGCAAATAATTACATGAGTCACAATAAAAAAAAATAGATGACGTGTAGTTATTGTTAGATAGATTATTATATTACACTATAATACCGGTTACAATTTATTAATAAATTTCATAATTAGCTTTCTTGTTACTGCGTAGGTACTTTTTATTGTTTATTGTCTGGATGTTGTTTGTAATGTGTATCTTAAAGTTAAATAAAATGCCTAAAGATATTACAATAATTTGAGGTTAATAGAAGAAATAAATTAATCCTTGTAGAAGTTTTATAATTATTATTTTTTATATTTCTCATTTTGTATAATTTAATTTTGAAAAATCAGCCAGTAACCAGTGGAACGAAGGTTACGATTGTAACCTTCGTTTCAGTAATACTCTCCAACTATCTATCCCCTCTCACCGTACTGGTCAAGACTATATATACGAGTATATACAATGTACAATACATATATGTGTATATATATATATATATATATATATATATATATATATATATATGTCACTGTCAAAACAACTTAGTTCTTCATTATTTCTTTTTTAGCCGAAATTTTAATAACTTAACCATCCGACTATGTGTGATGTAAAAGCTGGCTAAATAGCCAGCTATTTGACTATCTGCTATTACAGGAAAGAATCATTAAAATCAACCCAATTACGACTACTAAGGGGTTTAATTAATTACGACTACTAACGATTACTAAGGGGTTTTGCAAACAATATTGATAGTGTCTTTTTGATACATTTATATACTTACTGCACAATTTGTATCTAAATGATCGTGTCATATCCTGACTCTTATAAGTTATAAACCGTGCAAAACGAAAGTATAAAAGTTAATATAGTTTTTGTTCTATTTTATCAACATTATGTATAATCAAAAGTGAAATGACTGCACTCCATTGAAAAGCGATTCAATTTGTGGTGCTTAATCCTGTTAATATCAGAAAATGTAAATTTTTCATAATAATTTCTTAAAGCAGTGATAAATTTGAGAAACTGATTTGTTTTTTCATTACTGTGCATATGGTCTGTGAAAGTATACTACAAATGTTGACAAGAGACGGACGAATTTTTTGAAATGGATATATTTAATTTTTTGTATCTATATTATTTGACCTAGTCTCTTCTTATTGGAATGCAGTGAAAACTATGTGTGGTCATGGTCATAAAATATTCAATCATCATCACGACAACATAAAATGGAATACACTCAAAACTAAAATTTAATATGCTTCATTCATTAAAATAGTCATGTTACTTTCATTTTTTAGGTACAGTGAACGAAACCCAGGTCTCTTGGTCTCAACCGTATCCGCATTTGACAAATTATCTCACGAGATTCAAGACCATTGAATTCAAGTAAGATTCAAAAAGATCATCACGTCGCATATAGTTAGCGTAAAGCATTGTTTGCAAGTGATGAAGAATGAAGCCATGCAAGTGTTTGCATGGCTGTGTTTCGGTTTGAAGAGTGAGATATGGCGTGAAATTACAGGATACAGAGGAATAACACCTGAGTCCTCAGAAATGGCAACGTATGGGGGATATCATGGGCGAAACAGTATATTCTGTTATGTCCATGGTACTGCTCATGTCTATAGGCGACGGTTACCACTTTCCATCAGGTGGCCGTCAGCCCCTTGTTTGCCATTCTAAGTTGTATAAAAAAAACATGGATTCTAAAATGATATTGTGCTGTTGCTGATACAGAATATTTTTCTCTTCACATGACACGAAGGTACGTATTGAAGTTAACACCGCCTGCGTATACTGATGACGTCATCCTTTTGGAAAAATCAAATAATTAATAACTGAAAATAATTATACCGTTTAAAAATTAAACGATTTGGTTATCTTTCCAGTCTGTTAGATCATTTGTTGTAAAAGCACAACTGTGATATTTTGGTTTAGATTTTGTAATGTAAAAGCAACCCATGTACATAATAGTATAGGTAAATACAATCCAAGTGGTTATAGACCAAAGATTGATGCTCATATTACTTACATTAAGTGAAATAACCTAAATAATATATAGAGTTTTCGAAGTTTCGAAGCTTTATTTAAGTATTAATTAATTATATTGCATATACAATAAGAGATTCGTATAACGAATACCCATCATAATGAACAAATTTTCGTCCTATTTTTAATGCGTTAAGAATAAATGTTTTTACATTATAAGGTAAGGTACATTTGAGGGGTTTGTAGTCATTTGTATAATACACACAATGTACTAGTATGTATAATATGCCTGCACTCTGCCTGCTGGTATTAGCTATATGTTTATAATAAAAATGTTTGTAGTTGTAGGTGTTGTTCTATATTATTTTTTCTATTTTGAACTTTAAACTAACGTTTACAGAATTCATTTTGCATATTGCAAAATTATGCACACTTTTTAGATGAAGCAATGCGGTTGCAGTGCTATGTACGAACGCCTATATATTTTTACGAATTGACAGCAGTTTCAAGGGATATATAGTGTTAAGATTGGTATTGGTATTGTTGGAGATTGCCGTAATATATAAAATGGGGATGCTAAATTATATATTTATATATACACACACACACACATACACACACACGCGCACATAATATATATGTGCGTGTGTGTGTGTGTGTGTGTGTATATAATATATAATGCAGATAATTTGGTAATACTTTATATATATATATATATATATATATATAAAATAAACATATAGATTATAAGGTTTTAAATGTTATGTATCATATCATGCTGACATCGGTGGTCTAGCAGTTTGATACCGTGCCTTACCTTTCGATGGTCGGGGATTCGATTCCCGCAAAATACAAATGTTTGTATTCTATTTAGCAGTATGACTTTGTATTTGTTTGATTGTTTTGTATGTGGAATATGTTGATTTTACAAAAAAAAATGCGCATGTTAAAAAAATAGAGATAATATGTATATAAGGATGTTATTTAAGTACACATAATATGTATGTATATAAAAAGAAGTATTTAAGTTTTTTTATTTGTTCTCTAGTACCTATACATACATATATAGTACATGCTTTACCTATTTTGGTATTAGATAACGCTGTGTCATTTAGTGGGACTAAATTGACATGAACATATTTGCTTAGTAGTATTTATATAAGTTTAATGTATGATTATTGGTATTTCTATACTGTACTGGATGCAGATTGTAGATGGTGGAATCTTTTTGCAGAAGTAGATATGAAATAGCTGAAAGTAGTTGTACTTAGTATATAAAATCCTATTAAAATCATAATAATATTTATATCTAAAAAAAAAAAAAATAAACAACCAAACGGGTGCATTGTATACAGACACAATGAGTAATGAAGAAGTTACCTTTTTTAGAGGAGCGATTAATGAACAATTAACAGCATTATATTTAGAATTGTTCTTTGCATATGACTATCCAAAGAGGAAAATAATGTTTTTAGGGTTCATTTATGAGAGTTTATTACACAGTAACTTTAAAAACCTGGAATAGATATAGATGTTATGGGGTCAGTCATGTTTGCTGAGCAAAATGCTTTTGGCTGTATGTATGACACGCGAAATTATCACTAATTCAATATTAGTCTCATACTAATTTATACAAAATTTCTGTGCACCAAATAAGGGATCAAAATATTACCATTAGATTTAAATTGATATATAGTTAAATTTGTCATCATAGTAGTGTTCAAACCTAAATGTTGTATTTATGTGTGAATTTCAAAAGTTATTCAATTACACAGATATATAAGTTGCAGTTATGTAATTTTATTTTTAGGATAAACTAAATTGTAGTGAAACTATCGTTGTTTTTAAATTTGTTTTTTTATTAAAAATACATTAAATATGCTAATACCTGATGCACTCGACATGTCCACTTTTCGATAAGCATATTAGCGGTTGATTTGAGTTTATAATCGTTAATATAATTTACTTATTATCAAATATTAGGCTGTGTTAAATGATGTTTAGATAATGTAAGTACTCGTAGTTGATAAGTTTATTGATAAGTTTTCTTAAAATGTGATTCAAAATTCTTGTCATTTTAACTTTGTTAAAAACTTTATTATAACTATTGACGTTTGTAAGCGGTGATATTGTATCATTTGGCTATTATAATGAAATTAGATGAGATTATCTGTTCGACTATTTATTTAAATTTTGTATTTTGTTTAAATATTGAACAATGTGTTTGCTAATTGAAATGACATCCCTTTAAGATGGTCTACATTCAGGGTGCTACTATACTTAATTAATTTGTAAAATTGAACTTTTTTGTAAATATTAATTATTAAATTATTATTTAAAAGTATGATTTTTATTATTTACTATTAAGTTCAGGTATTGGAAGTAGTTAAGCAAAATGTGAGGATCGGTAATTATATTAATGGAAAAAATGGACGTTATATAGTCTGGCAAGATCAGAACAGTTAATTTTTGAGTCATTTTCTTATCATCATGATCAAAAGAGCCTATTCTATGCCGTGGCCATACGTGATAATTTTTTTTTATTATATAATTTTTTAAAATGTAGTCTTTAACATTTTGCGTATTCATTTCCACATAGCGCCTGGTATCATTGTGTATATTTTTATTTAATCAAATGTATGTTTTCAACAGATAATCGACCTTCACATTCAAATATAAGTCGTTATTTCTCAAAACTTGTAATTTGTATTGAAAGCTATTTTTGGATGAAAATTATTTGCATTGTGAAAGTGCACCTTCACACCAATGACAAAAAGTAATTTCCAATAAAACCCTTTAATGAAAAGGATGCAAACAGTCATGCTAGCATTTTTAGTTTTAATAGTATTGTATTATTTTATTATTTCCGAATGTTATCTACTGAGAAGAGCTTTTAAGAAACTATTTTCTAATAATTTACAAGGAAATTCAGCATTTTGTATTATAATTCCTATCTAGTATGTAGGAAAAATTTATATCAAATTGTATGTAATTAATCTGTGATTTCATGTCAGCATTTATATTTGAAAATATTTTTGAATCTTACCCTACATGTGGGAGTCTTAAAGTAAGTAAATCGAATATATTTTCTGACTGCTCGATTCGATCGAATTCGAACTTGCATCTCTCGATTTGGGCTGAGTGTTTTTTTCTAGTTAAGAAATGTTACAAGGTACTTCTAAATTAGCACTTTATATTTAAATATATTTATTCAAGCTCTAGTCTCTGATAATGAGTATATTGACTGTGATTTTAACAGGGTTTAAAAAGAAATCTTTTAAATCTAATAAATACTAATTATAGTACAGTCAATGAAGGCAAAAATCAGCTACGACCTCCGATTTCGTTGAACCACTATAAATTTGGATGAAAATTTGGGATTAAGTATGTTTTACCCTCTACTTCAAAAGTGACATATGCTGGTCTTGCCTTTTTTGCATTATAGGGGTGAAATCCACCCCTTTTGTTAAAAATGGGAAAAATTGCATATTTAACCATTCTGGCTTAAGTAATTGTGTTTAATTAGGTAAAATAAATGTTTTTTTAATATTTATATGCGTCATTTATGGTTTTAATTAATTTTTCAAACGTTTTAGCACCCCTTAAATCCAATATCATGAAAAATATTTTTTATTTCTGAATTTTAAAATCGCATATTTACATTACATAAACAGTTTCTTTGATGCTTATGATATAATTTTTGGTTGACAATGAAATTTCAACCCTTAAAAACTACCTCCTTCTTGCAGAATTACTGTCAAAATTAGTTTAAAAAATTTTAATCTATTAAATAGTACAATACTGAAGGAAATCTTATGTACGGAATATTAAAATATTTATTTATTTTTTGCGAATTATTTCACCCTTAAAAACTATCCCTTGTCATAAAAATATGGAATAATTTTTTTATCAGCTTTAGTTAGAATCTTTTTTAATAGTTAAGATAAATTTTATTAATATATTTTAAAACTTTATTAATACACACATACACACACTCATTCATGTGTATTTAGTAAGCATGTACCTATTGACACATTTTCCTATAATATATGCACACCAAATATCTGCTCCAAAACTTAAAAAAAAAATATTTTTTTTTTACAATTTGTCTTTTGTATAATATTGTCATAAGTTAAAACGAGACACACGTAATATTTATTTGAAATAAATCAAGATTATAGTAAGTCGTTTCATAAGAAGAAATCCTCTTTGAAAAGCGAATTCTTAATTAGTTCGTGTTATCTGTTATTTGGTTGATTAACCTCTGCTTTCATCCTTACTTATACATACCTGTATCTGCGGGGCATCAATGAGGGACATATTGATAGCTCAGGCTATGTCTATAAATAGGGTTTCAATTCCATTTTCATGAATTGAACCAGCATAATTGCAATCATACAACTTTCAATATAAACTTTTTTATAGGCGCTACGTATTAATAAAAATCGCAAATTTAAAAATATTTCAAGTTCTGGGTCATCTGGATATTGGTTAAGTTTTTAATCTATATGTCAGTCAGTAGATTATTATCTGAATAACAGTTTAAGCTGTTTTTATGAAATCTAGAGCTCTAGTTAATCTAAAAGGGTTTTATTAATAAACCAAAGTTTATATAATGTATTACGTATTTGAGTTATTAAAGAGTAAAAACTGGCTCCAAATGGTTCGTGTAACGTACGGATGTTACATTATTAGTTTTTAGCTTAAATGGGCCTAATATTCTGCCCTTGTTTAGATATTGTTAATATGATCGCTAAGGTTAATGTGAAAAAGATTTCACTGAGAAGTAAATAACAATAAACATCGATAGCACTGCTATCAATGTTTATTGCTAGAGAGTAATAATAAATAATAATAAACTCTTTATTGCGCACAATAGAGATGTATACAAGGAGTATTTATACAGAATGTGCATATACAAAAGCGGTTTTATCATTTAATCTTTTATAGATAATTTGGCATAAATAGTGGATAAGTACAGAAAGAAAGGTAGATGGCGCAAGTAAGACACAGAGTACTAAAATATTGCTATAACAAAAATATCGAATTTAAATTTTTCTCTCATTTGTTTTCTCTTTTCAGAATCATTTTTTCTTCTTTCATATCGTAGTCGCTCTGCTTGTCTCTTTTTCTGTAGGAATTCCCTTCAGGAAAACTTTTTCTTTTTAGGAACAATATTATGTATGTTCTATCGGCCTGTATAAAATAAGTTTATAAAGGAAAATAATGCGAAGCAATGTTACTTTAATGATTCTTACGCTAATAAAACAGACTAGCGGATAAATTTACACCAACAATACATAAAAACAGTAACCAATATGCAAAATAAACAGTCCCTTGTTGTTTAAAACAATTCCCTGCTGCGTTTTCAGGCTGAGGACTGTTGCCAGGGAACTTTGTATTTAGGTTAGATTTCATTTACCAGAGGATTGTGTGTGGTAGCGGACCAAACGCGTGGTCACCTTACAAATGAACATCTGACGCTAAACAAAATGGCGTCTCGTTGCCGCATTCGGCAAGGTTGCCAATTTCACAATAATTGCGTTTCGTTTCTCTCTAAAAAACTTTTGTAAATATTACAGTTTTTTTTTTAAAATGGATTTACATTTTTGACAGGGGACTGTATGGAAATTCTGGGGACAAAGTTTATAGGTTTTTACTATTATAATGAAATTCGTAATGAGACCTTGTTTTACGAAAATAATATTAATTTTATAATTTTTCTTATTATATTAACTGCCAAATGTATGTAATTTTAATAACTTCTTCATAAATTCTTAATAAATCTAGGCGGGAGTACAGTGATAGGGAGAGCCAGAAGACTGTATTTTTAGAGCTTCTATCACGTCTAGAAAAAAAAATTAAAATAGTTACGATTCTAAAAATAATGAGCTCGTAAATTTTTGGGATTAAAGTTTATTTATTAGAAATATTTTTTTCGAAAATAATTAATATACTTTTTGAAAAACACAATCGGGACAGCCGATTACGTGTTTACAGAAAATCACCCATATATGTTTGTTCACTTTAGATGTAATAATTGTATGGCAACACTCTCGTCAATTAATAAGAACATTTAAATCTCGTATGTGGCAATGAATCGTTTTTCTTTGGAGGCAGAAAGAAAAGAAGGTTGCTTGTGTCTGCTCTTCAAAGAGAAATATACAGTTTTTTGTCGTTGTCGTTCTTAAAATATTTGAAAGGACACTTTAAGATTCAAACATCTATCGGAGGATTGAAGATCGAAACCCTTAATACTTATAACATTTACGAGGTATTCTCAGGTAACTTTAGTATGTTTTAGGGAACTGAGTGATCTGAGTACTTATCGATTTTGTTGTCGTTGCAAATTATTACGTATATTCACTTTAGATATAATAATTGTATGGCAAAACTCGACAAATAATAAGAACATTTAAATCTCGTATGTGGCAATGAATCGTTTTTCTTTGGAGGTAGAAAGAAAAAAAAGGTTGTTAGTGTCTTTTGTGTTTTTTGTCGTTGTCGTTCTTAAAATATTTAAAAGGACACTTCAAAATTCAAACATCTATCGGAGGATTCAAGATCGAAACCCTTCATATTTATTACATTTAGGAGGTATTCTCATGTAACTAGCATGTTTTAGGGAACTGAGTGATCTGAGTACTAATCGATTTTGTTCTCGTTGCAAATTATTACGTATATTCACTTTAGATATAATAATTGTATGGCAAAACTCTCGACAATTAATAAGAACGTCTAAATCTCGTATGTGGCAATGAATCGTTTTTCTTTGGAGGTAGAAAAAAAAAAAGGTTGTTTGTGTCTGCTTTTAAAAGAGAAATATACAGTTTTTTGTCGTTGTCGTTCTTAAAATATTTAAAAGGACACTTCCAAATTCAAACATCTATCGGAGGATTCAAGATCGAAACACTTAATATTTATAACATTTACGAGGTATTCTCAGGTAACTTTAGCATGTTTTAGGGAACTAAGTGATCTGAATACTTATCGATTTTGTTGTCGTTGCAAATTATTACATATATTCACTTTAGATATAATAATTGTATGGCAAAACTCTCGTCAAATAATAAGAACATTTAAATCTCATATGTGGCAATGAATCGTTTTTCTTTGGAGGTAGAAAGAAAAAAAAAAAGGTTGTTTGTGTCTGCTCTTAAAAGAGAAATATACAGTTTTTTGTCGTTGCCATTCTTAAAATATTTAAAAGGACACTTCAAGATTCAAACATCTATCGGAGGATTCAAGATCGAAACCCTTCATACTTATAACATTTACGAGGTATTCTCAGGTAACTTTAGCATGTTTTAGGGAACTGAGTGATCTGAGTATATTTTAACCCTATTATAGGAATTTTCACAAATCAACTTAGTTTAAATCTAGATAGTGACTTTTAAAACAATTTATCTTTTTTGCATTCTCGTATCGGATCTAGTTTTAAATCTTGTCGTACTCGTGTTTTGGCTCATCGGTCGGATATTATTGATAGGCAATATTATATGTTGTACATTTTAATTGCAAAGTACAGTAATAATAATAGTAAAATAAGCTGTTATGTAGTTGAATTAATTAATTTGTTTTTGCATTTCATTGTGTAGTTTCCAATTCAGTCGTGGGTAGATAATTATTTAAATCATTGATAGTGGAAGTAAATTTTTAATAATCATTGCATTTTTAGGGAGGCAAAGGTGCAATTGCTATACAGCCATACATTGAATATTGATTTCGAATCTATACTTATCGATTTTGTTGTCGTTGCACATTATTACGTATATTCACTTTAGATACAATAATTGTATGGCAAAACTCTCAATTAATAAGAACATTTAAATTTCGTATGTGGCAGCGAATCGTTTTTCTTTGGAGGTGAAAAGAAAAAAAAAGGTTGTTTGTGTCTGCTCTTAAAAGAGAAATATACAGTTTTTTGTCGTTGTCGATCTTAAAATATTTAAAAGGTCACTTCAAGATTCAAACATCTATCGGAGGATTCAAGATCGAAACCCTTCATACTTATAACATTTACGAGGTATTCTCAGGTAACTTTAGCATGTTTTAGGGAACTGAGTGATCTGAGTACTTATCGATTTTGTTGTCGTTGCAAATTATTACGTATATTCACTTTAGATATAATAATTGTATGGCAAAACTCTCGACAATTAATAAGAACGTCTAAATCTCGTATGTGGCAATGAATCGTTTTTCTTTGGAGGTAGAAAGAAAAAAAAAAGGTTGTTTGTGTCTGCTTTTAAAAGAGAAATATACAGTTTTTTGTCGTTGTCGTTCTTAAAATATTTAAAAGGACACTTCAAAATTCAAACATCTATCGGAGGATTCAAGATCGAAACCCTTTATACTTATAACATTTACGAGGTATTCTCAGGTAACTTTAGCATGTTTTAGGAAACTGAGTGATCTGAGTGATGTTATATTATAACCCCGTTATAGGAATTTTCACAAGTCAACTTAGTTTAAATCTAGATAGTTACTTTTATAACAATTTATCGTTTTCGCATTCTCGTGTCGGATCTGTTTTAAACCTTGTTTCTTTCATTTATTTGATTA